TAATAAAGGACTTACATTTTTTCACTTCAACAGAGTGCCTCAGACTTCTTTTTTTCTTTTCGACATCCTGCATATAGATTTGATGCTACACCACTGAAATGGATGAATAGTTACTTAACTTGTAGATCACAATCAGTATTTTTTAATGGAAGCTTTTCTGCGCCTAAAAGTCTGCAGTGTGGTGTACCTCAAGGCAGTTGTTTGGGACCACTGCTTTTTTCAATTTTCATTAATGATATGCAGTACGGCCTTAAAAGGTGCAGCGCAACTCTTTATGCAGATGACGCCACTGTTTACTGTGCAGCATCAAGTATGTCTGAGCTGAGAAATACACTACAGGATGATCTGCAGTTGTTATTGGACTGGATTCACGAAAACAAACTGGTTTTGAATGTGTCTAAAACAAAGAGTATGTTGTTTAGATCTCGACACCAAGATAGTGCCGATCCACTTAACATTGTATTAAAAGACATGCAAATAGAGCAGGTTCAGGAGGTAAAACTCCTTGGAGTTACTTTCGATGAACGTTTATCTTGGGATAAGCACATTAACACTGTTGTGAAAAAAATGGGTAGAAATATGGCATGTATTAGAAGGTGCTGCTCATTCATGACACCGGCTTCTAGAGTTCTGGTGGTTCAGTCATTGGCCTTGTCTCACCTGGACTACTGCTCTGTGGTGTGGTCAGGTGCAGCTAAGAAACACATGACGAAACTGCAGACAGCACAGAACAAGGCTGCCAGGCTGGCTCTGGGCTGCCCACTCGTGTGGGGACAGAGCTCAGCTGAGCATCATGACCGTCTCTCATGGCTCAGAGTAGAAGATAGACTCAAATGTCATTTAATGACTTTCTTCACAAACATAAGCTATAGTCAAAAACCTACTCATTTGTACAACCTTTTACATTATGTGAGAGATCTGCACAACTATCCAACTAGGCAAGCGGCTCAGGGTCATTTGACCTGCCCCAAACCCAGAACAGAAGCCGTGCGTAGGTTGGTCATATTTAGAGCTGTGACTTTATGGAACAAACTGCCACCGGCTGTTAAACAGGCTGAAACAAAGCTCTCTTTTAAAAGACTATTGAAAAGACATTTTCTGATGGAAGCTTAAGTCTGTTTGTGTGTGTATGTCTATAACTTCATATACAGTATATTTAAATTCTTTATATGTACAGTATGTGTGCGTATAACTGAGGAGAGGTTTTGTATGTGAAGTGTTTTTTTTTTCAATTTAACTGCATGATGTGAATATTGTAATTGCTTGAACCGGACCCCAGGAAGAGTAGCTGTCCATTTGGAGACAGCTAATGGGGATCCAAATAAATAAACAAATAAACAAATCTGCTTGGATTGCCTGTCTTTGAAGAGCACCTGTTTGTTAAGCCTTCTACCACTCGTACCCTCCGCAGCACTCACCTTCCTTACTTTACACTAACCATTTAATGTATTTGTATCTGTTCTGAAATGTTGACTAAAATCTGATTAGAAGTAGCTACTTTTTCTTTTTCAGTCAGTCTTCCAATGCACTGTTGATGTTTGGCCCAGGTGTGGTTGAATCCAAACCGACTAGAAACTAATATCTAAACGTATGTCAAATACAGTTAGTTTGTCAAAAGACTTTTACACCTCTGGCCCCTACAAGCTCTTATGTTTTTAACTTTGGCCCCCTACCAAAATGAGTTTGACACCCCTGAACTAATCGATACAGATCTATCTATATATTTTGCCATTCCCACATATTATTTAATGTCATACAGCTGTCCCTATAGTCCATGTTTTCATAACTACACTGCTGCTTCTGCCCACTCTCTTAGCTTCACCCGTGTATCACATCTGTGCTCGTATGGAGGTGCCCGCTGTCTCCTCTGCATGGACAGGGGATAAAAACCAAATCTTTTTCACGTCTGTGTAACTTCGTCTCTGCTTTGTAAGTGGTTTGTAATGCCTTTATGGATCTTCCACAATGCCAGTCCTTGTGCCGCTGGAATTGGGGCACTCTGATCCTAATGAAAAATCCCCTCAATCTCTCCTACTCGTTTCAATCTTGGAGAATTTCAACCTTTTCTATAATATTTGTGTGAAAGAAAGAAAACGAACGAGCATCATCCATCCAGCGGTCCGTTGGCATTCTGCTGCTTTTCAACCGAGAATTATCTTATTAAAATATGAACTTTCTTTGAGCAATGATTCTGCCGGTTTAATTTTCTACGTACAGAAAGTGAAGAGCATATTCGTTATAAGCTTTTTAGGTCAGTCAAATGTTGAATCCATTGCGAAAAGGACGTGCAAATGGAAAATCAACATCAATATGCATGTGCGTTTTTTGGACCTGATCAATAATAGATGGTTAAAATCTTTCTCACGGTTGCTGTTTTTTTATCTTCCCCAATCGCCGCCCACAACCTTGAATAAGCACTGTTCATACAACCGCTTTACAGTTTAATTTTTACTCAACGTCCGTTTGGCAGAACAAGTGAGCCATCAAGCTCGCCTGCTTTCATTTCACCACTATTAACTGTGACTATTGAATATTCTTACAAGCGATTCATCAAATACAGTGCGTTTTGGCAAGCGTGCAGGAACAATTGATTTGTTAAAAAGAAGCAAAATAAGGCGATGAATGAGAAGTGCTTGAGTCTGACTAATGTCAAGAAGAAATCTGAATTTATCCTGTGGAATGTGTTTATCATGTGCCACCTGCATGTGCAAGTCTGATCCTGCAGATCTTGATAAGCTAAGCAGAGCAGGGCTTGGTTAGTACGGTGATGGGAGACCTCTTGGAACACCAGGTGCCACAGTGGGCCAAACTGTTGTTGTGTCCTTAGGCAAGTTTGAAGTGTCTTGCATAAGGACACAATGACACATGCTTATATGAGCCTGGTGTGTGTCTGTGAATGAGTGAGATGAGTAGCCTCACCTATATGTCAGTCTTCCCCAGGGCAGCTACGGCTACTCTGGTAGTTGTATTAAGGCAGATTCGTGTTTGAATTTACAAAAATACATACTTTTTGTTGTTGTTGGTTTTCTCTGCACTGGACAATGTGTTTCATTTAATAACATTACATTTGTTCTGTAAACCTGGGTAAAAGCTTGGAGATTTACAAAACATTTTGAAATTAATACATTTTTATTTAAATGAATGATCTTAAACATGTTGGGAAACATTATTTTACGCACAAACACACTAAGTCCACAACAACAGAGAACGGCAAAAGAATGCATAATATGCACAAATCACGCAAACACACTTTTACACACAATTTTATTCTTATTGTACAGTTTTGACCAATTCCTCATGCAAAAGTCTGACTTTAGAAACACAAGTGCGACAGACAGTCAGGCGACGTACTGGACTTCAAATCCCTGCGATACAGAACCATAGTCAAACCAATGAATGTGCCTCGACATGTCGTCTGGTGTGCCTTTTGGAAATGATGGAATATCAACTATTGTTCAAAATAATATGAAAGGAAATGATTGTGAAAAGATTAGTAAGACTTTTTGCACTTTTTGAGTGTCTATATAATACACTTTGATGTGAATGACTTTGCATTGTTCATAAAGGCTGCAGAGTTTCATGTTTGTATAAGTTTCAGTTGGTGGTGTACCTTGTAATTGTGTTCAATGAATCAGAATTATTTTTATTGCCATTGTGACTAACAGGAAGTCACAAACTAGGAAATTGTTTTGGCTCTCGATGCAAACAAGTTATAAAAATAGAGTAAGGCATGCATAAAAATAAATACTAAAATCTACATAACATTTTCTCACTAAGTCCACTTTGTGCCACGGCTCAAAAAGGTTGGGGAACTCTAGCTCATGCACACGTTTATTCCACACTCAGTGCATTTGTCCTGCAGTCACTTGAGCGCCCCCTCAGGACATCCTTCAAACTCGCACCACCATCTGTTTTTGGGGGAACTTCCGGCTTGTCTGTGCGATTGGTGCTAAGCCGACTCTCTCAGACTATATCCCGCTAATCGGTCCAGCTCAGACAGGTGGAGGTAATGGCCGCCGGTGGTTTGGGCCGCTCCGCTCCATCACAGCCGCAGATGCTCGAGAGGCTTTTGCAAATGAAGTGCTTGGGTTTGCAGTCCATCGTCAGCGCTATATCCTCTGCACTGCCCCAGGCTCAGCCCTCACTGCTATTATACTTCATTATTGAGACTTGCTTCTTTGTTTGGCCTCCTATTTGTTGGATGCACTTAGTTTGGTTTCATTTCCGCTAGCTGAGTAACCTTATTTAACTGGCGTAACCCTAAATAACTTTGAAGCTGGATGTACAAAACTACATATGATGAAACTATGGTCTTTAGTTTGTTATTATTATTTTATTATTATTATTTTTATTATTATTCAATCTTTTTTTAATGTATTTATTTTGGTATATATTTTATTATTATGTATACTTTTTTCAATATTTGTTTGGTCATATATTTTTTTTTTTGATGAATAATATTATTTGTTATGTAATCTTTTCCTTGGCATTATAATTGTTGCCTAATTATCTTTTTGAATTATGACATATTGACCAGTCAAACTCTAAAGGCAAAAACTCAAAAATAAAGTGTATATATAAAAAATTAAAAATGTTAAATCCATATTACTGGTTTCTTTTATAGTTAGTCTTCCCATGTTCGGATTTTCGGGCTCTGTTATATCTTTGAATCAGCTTTTTCAGGCAGAAAAAAAAAAGAGTGAACCACCAACACTCAGCCAATGAGCTCTCAGCCCAATTCTTACAACATTTAATCTTGTGGTCTTATTAGTCCACAACAGCTTTCAACTTTGTGTTAAAAAGTTAGTATTCATGAAGGGGTTCAATAGTTTGCATTTTCTCGAAACTAATTAACATGGATTTTGGGTTTCAAAATACATCGGCTATGCTTTGTGGCGAAGAAGTCTCACAAACAAACTGCCAATTTTAAAACCTTAGTATCCAACAGATCTTTAAATGCAAGAGACACTAACGCTGTTTCTCCCATCTGCTTTTTTCAGGGCCGCCATGTCAAGACGGGGCAGCTGGCCGCCATCAAGGTCATGGATGTCACAGGGGTAAGTTCTCCTGGTCACTCCCCGACATATGGCTGCATAATGTACTGTCAATCAAAACACAAAATATTAATGAAGGTGAAATTACTGTCTTACATTGTGATCCTGAACATTCTCCAAATTTGTGTATGTAATATAGATGCAACTGTTATGTCCGCATTTATTCCATTTAAAATCTTTTGTCCTTAACCGCTATTAGACTGAACTCTCTGTAGCTTGTTGTCGAAATGGACTTTAGGTGTTTGAGCTGATATTGTATCATTCGCTTATGTTTCTGGCTGACATGTCCAGTGTTTGTATGTTCAAACTAATTTCCCCTGGTGGGTAAAATAATGTAGTCTGAATCTGAATTCCATATTTAAATGGCCATCATGTTACTGCCCAACTTAGACTCAGATCTGTCTTTCTACTTTACAATCAATACTTAAAGAGCGCTTTTCCTACACAGGGCAACACAAAGCACCTCACATTTCACATCACACAAGGCACAAATCATCACATAAAACCAACACCAAAATCATAATTAAAAACACAATAAAATCCCGCAGGTAGGTAAAAACATTAAAATCACACAAGGGATTAGAATCATAAATTACAATGCATTAAAAACAGATGCAAATCCTTCAGTTGTAAAAGCCACAAACTTTGTCACCTTGTATAATGTCAACGTCAACTTTATCTGTATAGCACATTTACAACAACACCAGCTGCCCAAAGTGCTTCACATATAAACCAAAAAAACAAGAAAACAGCATGAAATACATACATATACATATATACAGTACATTTAGGGCCTCCCCTCATATATAAGCAATTAGCCCTCCTAAAAATTGTATGTATCTCATTCATATCCTATAGAACGTAATGAGAATGAGGATGGATCTACCGACACCAGCACCTCATCACTGCTTGTCACTTGCAGTTTAGCACTTGGATTGATCAATGAGGAAAAAATGTAGATTCACCAACTTCCCAGACAAGAGCTCCCCAGTGCTACGTACATTCAGTTTTGTTTTCTTATAATAATACCCTATTTTTAACACAATAGTTCTTAGTTTAAGTTTGGGTTTATTTTGTGCCACTCTCGCTTCATTATCAACGTTTTTCTTGGCATTTTATTTTAAGAGTCAATGTGAAGTTCATTGTCAGTCGTGGGTGGGTTGAAATTAGGGCAGCCCTCGTGCCACATTGGTAATATTGTCTGTTATTATATCAGGGCAATAAAGGCAGTGTCTTTAATAACGCATGCAGGGACAGGGAAATCTCTTGCTATTTATAGACACCCTCTTCCTCTCTCACTTGACTTTACTCCTGGAGCTGCTGCCAAACAATGACACGCTACATGAGCCCAGCGCCAAAAACTAATGAATGAAACAAGTGCAGAGGTGACGTCCACTGGGGATGTGCAGTATCTTGGTTCCAATATCGGTGACCACTTTACTACTACTACCACTTTAGTAAATCTAATTAATCCATAATCGGGAATACTCATCACAAACTATATGTATTTTCAAATGAGCACAATTGTGGAAGTTTTTGCCATGGAAAATGTGTCGCATAATTGGTTGTACGATATGCTGTAACCTGATTCAATGCATGTGCAGAGGGCTTGCCTCGTGGCCCTCAAGTGCCAGTTTCTGTCTGTCTTTTTCAATTCTAATCATCATTTGGCTGAAAGGGTTCAATACTAGTAAAACACCTGTGCAGACATTTGCCAAGAGGCTCAGTTCCATTCCTTCAAAAGTTATATTGGGATAAACTTACTTAAACAACTTTCTTCCTTTTATAACTTTATCGAACTGATAATTTAAACTTTAACTTCCCTGATTTAAGGTCTAGCAAAGGATAAGTTATATTTATTTAATGTTATTGGCCTGTTGGAAATGTTGCCCTCTGCATTTGACTCATCCTGCAGCTGTTTGAGTACCCAGGGGCACATCTCCAGATGTTCAGGCTCAGCTTAGTCAGAACTACCGGAGCTGGACAATTTAATCTATTGTACACGTGTTTAGTGGTATGGATGCCCTGGAGAAAACTGACATGGGGAGAACATGCAGACTCCAACACTTGGACCCCAGGAAGAGAGCTAACCACTCTGGCACTCGGCAAGGGATCAGCAGTGAGATTGTGAAAATAGTAAAATTTAAAAGTTTGAGGAGTCACAACTCTAAGAAATAGAAACAGTAGAGACACAACCTGCACAAAACTCACAACACAAACTTCTATAACACACAGTGCTATGCTGTTTTAGGATTTATCAACATATTAAGCACACATTACTGCTGAACAACTTGTTAAGTTAGATTGAAAAACCTTGTGAAAAGTCCTTCTCAGGTTTCACTAAAGTAAATTTCCAAACTCTTAAAAAAAGTATCTTCTCTGCCTCTGATTGTGTGGATGCTTTCTGGAGAAGGGGCGTAACCTCGGGACAGAGAGGCCTCGGGTCAGAGAGGCAGGGAAGCAAGTGGCAACCATGGGGCAGTCTGATCACCTTCAAAACATTTACATTGGCTCCTTGTCCCTTTTTGGATTGTTGTTGTTAGAAATCCAACAACAATCCATAGAAATCTTCCCAAAACTTTTTGAGTTTTGGTGAGAACTAACAAATTATCCATCCATCCATCCATTTTCTTCTCCTTAATCCATTTCTGGGTCGGGGGGGGGGGGGGTGGAAGTCAGAGCTGCACCAAGTACACATACCACCAGCCCCTCACTGATCCTCCTGCAGGTGGTGAGTCCACAGGAGCTGAGATCTTTCAGCACTAACAAATTAACACACAAACAAAAAGTGATTCTGATGCAATTCTTCTCCCCAGTGCAGTTAACCAAATGTGTCCAGAGCTCCCAGCTCAGCTTGGTTTTGTCTGTTGTGAGACAGGTTAGTTTTACCTTCTTAGCCTCCCAACCCAATCCTACTTGTAGATTAAAAACAGATAAAGGTCCGGACACCTTTCTATATTATACAGATATAATTTTCAAGCAATCCCTTTTATCTGAACGCCCTGTATACCCCTTGTCGCTCTCTGCCTACCCCTGCCTGACGATAACCATCTCACAACATCGTTTGTATTGATAATTAAACCACAAATTGCCACTAAAGCACGAACATCTTGGCTCCACCGCTGCAAATGCCGCATCTAATGAAATAGAGATTAAATTGTGAAATTACTAACTGTGTCCATGGCGACTTGTTTTGTGTGACTGCTTTTGGCATATAGCTGTAGTACCCCACTAAAACACGGTGATTAAAACGTAATGGCGGCATACTGGATAATTTCGTGTCCAGCTGTGTGCAGTTTGACACATTTAAATAAAGCAAACAGCTCGCTCTGGCCACAGGATTATTTCCACGACATGGAGTTTTTATCAACAGGTCTTATTAGATACTTATTAGATATTAGATACCAGAGAAAAGGAAAAGTTCTGAGGGCTGAAAAATGTTGCACACTTAGTAATAATTCTGATGGTTTGTGGGTGTTGATTTAAAATGAGAGATTGATTGATTCAGAAAAGAACACCATGGATCGGATCCAAAAAACGTTTTTATTTTATTTTACTTTTTCTGTAACTAGTCAAAGTCCAGCGCAAACAATGATAAAACTGATAAAATGATAAAAATGATTTTAAAAAAAAACAAAAAACGAAACACAAACCGCAAAACATTCAAACTACTTACATGTAGAACTGTGCTATACAAATAAACTTGCCTTGTACATGCCTTGTGTGTGCCTTCGATCGATAATCGAATCGCGGGAGAAAGTATCGCGATATATCGTCACACTCCTACGGTCTATACAGTGGCAGCTGTTATGTTCGTCCATGTGTCATTAGTTTTGATAAAAACACATGTGCAGCTAAGTGTTTGCATAAAATGTTTTAACTCCAATATTTACTTTTACTGCAAATAATTCCTGGCCCTGTGTAACGGGTATCAACCTCCTTGACTACACATCGGCCCTGAAAAGAAAAATGTATTGGTCGACCTCTAGTAATATGTACTGTATATGTTGTTAATTGCTCGTATCTGTTGTCCCAGGATGAAGAAGAGGAGATTAAAGCTGAGATCAACATGCTGAAGAAGTACAGTCATCACAGAAATATTGCTACATATTACGGAGCCTTCATTAAGAAAAACCCTCCAGGAATTGATGACCAGCTGTGGGTATGTTGACCTATTTTATTATTATACATGTAGGGCAGCGCTAACAACTAATTGACGTGACCCATCAGTTATTATTCTTATGATTATAAGATGTTTGGATTTTAACTGTATGTATATGTATATGCCATTGTATTGTATCTTTATATGCCATAGTATTTTGGTAGTCAAAAAAAAAATCATATACTGTTCTACTTTTGTTTCAGAAGTTTTTTATATATTGTTCCTAATCTGAATTCACTACATTTGTCCCACTGCAAAAAGAGATAAAAAAAAGTCAAATTGTAGCTTAATTTGAGCACATGTTGACTGCCTTAAAACAAGATTTAGCAATGGTACAAGCAAAATGAAGTTGTTTTTTTGAAAAGAAAGAAATATGTCGCTTTGAATGAGAAAATGAAGCAACAGTTCTTGGCTATATGGCTTTGTCCCATTGGCAAATCTTGTTTTTAAGTCAGTATGTACTCAAATTAAGATAAAAACATTTGATTCAAGCAATTATTATCTCATATTGTATATATTTTTTAAATTGTAATGTATTTATTGGGCTGAAAAGTAGTAGTAGTTAGCCAATAACTAGTTAGCCTTCATCGAAACTGCCAAGGGGCGGGACTCTGCCGCTGGATAGTGTCAAGTCCATTTAGAACTTGCCTTTGTAAATGATGCCTTACTACTGAGCCTAATCCTACATTGATATGACAAAACACTTTTTAGTAAAGGAAAATCAGTATTTGCATCCACACTGAAACAGACTGCCCTTCTCTGTATTTGTATTAATCAATGACACTAACACTATTACTTGTCAACCACAGCTTCCCTTTCACTGAGTCTCCCCTTTAATGGCTCATGTGTGTGTGTTTGTGTGTGTTTTTGTGTGTGCGCAGCTGGTGATGGAGTTCTGTGGAGCCGGCTCTGTCACAGACCTGATCAAAAACACCAAAGGCAACACTCTGAAGGAGGAGTGGACGGCCTACATCTGCAGAGAGATCTTGCGGGTGGGTGTCCGTCTGCTCCAACACACTGTTACTGCAGAGAAAGCATCCATGCAGTCTGCTTTAACGTCGGCTTTAAAGTCTGCTTTAAAGTCTGCTTTGACGTCTGCTTTAAAGTCTGCTTTAAAGAGGGAGATATTTCATACATTTCTAATCCGGGTCATTTATTTGTTAGAACATATTATTAGATATGGTTTTATGCTACATCCTTGATTCAGGTTTTCAACTAGGTGCATAGTTGACTCCCACTCCTCAGGCTAGAACTTATACAGCAGTCAATTTGATGACTTGATGAAGTGCAATTACCGTTTATTATCTTTTATTTTTTAGATGCAAGTAGTTACTTCTACTTTTATGGCAGTGAAATTGCCTTTTCTCAAGCAGCTGGTTCTGGACTAGTCTTGAACCGGCCCTGGACTGGCCCTGGTTCTGAGCTGAGTCCGCTCGGTTTTCCACCATAGAAGAGTGATTACTAGTTACTATCTTTTTTTGGAGGCATTTGTTTCAGATTTCCAGTCATTTTCCAGTTTGAATAGGACCAGTCAATTTGACCGCTAAGGGAGTTCTAGTAGTTTCAGAATTTTGTTCACAGACTTTAACATAATTTTCCAGCAAAAACAGCAGGTTGACATGGTGTTACGGGGGTAAAGATGGATTTTAACCCATAACCTTCTAGAACAGACTAGGTTCAAATCAGGCTCCAAACAACTCATCTACCAAATGCAAAACAAGCACAAACCTTTTCTTGTGTGTACTAGGACTAGGTGTAGTCCTAGTTTAAATGTTGTCGAGAACCTTTACATGACAATCAAAACAGAATGAAGAACAATTGTTTGCGTTAAAAAGACACTGTGTGCATTTATCCAGCCCAGAGATGAAGCTCCCTAGAAAAACCTGGTCCAAGGCAAACATATGTTGACAAAAAAGGGATAGAAATATTGTGAGTGAAATATGTTCACTTCATAGGTAAATGATAAATACATGGGAACTTGAAGGATAAGAAAAAAACGCTACAACGTCTCAAGCAGATAAATGATCCGAGATAGAGGAGAGGAAGCCGAGAACTTGAAACAAAACAAGAGCTTTGGTTTGAGGAAAGAAATCAAAGAAGATAAAAGGAAATTGTTGCCTGTGTCGGCGGCGGCGGCGACGGCAAGAGCTGTGAGCATCTGACAAGACGCAGTGATATTGAGCTCTGTGTCTGAGGCTATTGCCCTCAGCACAAAAACACTAACAATAAAAGATTGTGAAGATAAGGCGTGGGCGAACTACCGAGATCCCCCGAAAAGATTCAATTCATGCTCTGTACAAGTTTCCAATAGGCATCAGAGAGGACAAACTGCTGTGCTGCTGTCAAAGAGAAGAAAAAAGAAAAAAAACGTTGTGAGATGTGAGGCAGAACTCAGTGAAGAGGCTGGGAAAGCTCTGGGATAGAGGGATGTGTGCATTTACAGTTAAGGGTCTATAGGGTTAACTGTTAGCTAGGTGTGTTTGTAATGGATGCTAATGTAATTGGGAATGGAAAAATGGATTCAAAAATATACCGCATGAAGGAGAATATATCCATTAAAATTCATATTCTGTTATTTCTATTTATTTAACCTATATTTTAACCAGGAAAGTCCCACTCTCTTTTACAAGGGGGTCCTGGACAAGAGACTATAGGATTTGTACATACATAAATGTGTATGTTTATTTCGTATTTATTTTTTCTGATGTATTTTTTTATCTTTACCTCGTATCTGTAATAATGTATAATAATAATAATAATAATAATAATAACAATATTGATGATAATAATAATAATAATAATAATAATAAATAATAATAATAATAATGTTGATAATAATAATGAATAATAATGATAATAATAATAATAATAATAATAATAATAATGATGGTAATAATAATAATAATAATATATAATAATGATAATGATAATAATAATAATAATGATAATAATAAAATAAATAATAGACAAATACAAATCTGTACACATAATAAATAAGAATTGAACTTGACAGTATGTTGACACTAGATCAGACACGGTTCTGCTCCAGAGATGGACAGTTCTTCCGTTTCACATGTAAGCATCGTTGGCCCCGTCACTTCTTTTAGATCAGCCTTTTAGACAGACCACCCTCACTCCATATTGTCTTCATAAAAGATTTCTCCACTTCACCTCTGCTTCAGTTTGTGGTCGATTGACACCATGTTAGAGGTTACAGTCTATATATTAAAGTAGAAACGCCTGTGTTTTGTACATCTGTAACAATTCTGAAACAAGTACTTCCTGGACCTGTATAGTCTATATTTAAGCCTGTATATAAGCTGCACTGGCATCATTTGAAAAGAAAGTACGTTTTGTCCACATATAGGCTGCACTTGAATATAAGCTGCAGGTTTTCATGTTGCTGTTTTAGCTGGACTCAACATGATTTCATGATAAGATAGCAAGACAAGGCAAGGTTTTATTGTATAGCACAATTCATACACAAGGCAACTCAAAATGCTGTACAACGGATTAACAGCTTAACCGTTAGCTTCCATGATCATAAATGAGTGTCCTATAGCTGTTAAATCTTGATTAAGTCTAAATAAACTACAATAAAACTATACGTATTTGTTGCACCGCTACAGAAGACGCAGGGTTCAATGAGCTAGAAGAAAGTAGCAGCTTTCAGTACAAAAATTATTGTACATGATGCTTTTGTTTGGTTTGTGGTATTTTAATCTATAGCACTTTGAGGTTTCCTGGAAATGTAAGGTGCAATATAAAATGTATTATTATTATTATTATTATTGTTATTTGTATACGCACTCAGTCGTACAGGGATTAGTCAAATGGTGAGAAACCTTCATTTGTTATTATTATTATTATTATTACTGTGTTAATTCCTCATTTTGATTATTATGTTGTCTATAAAGTGATTTTCAGGTCGGACATGTTTGAAATGTGCACTTAGGGTCCTCCAAGTGTCTGCTACTATCTATCGACACTCATCCTTCCAATTATTTTCAGTCTGTCTGCCTAGTTTAGTCATTACTTACTTTGGCTGATCCTTTGTGTAAGTTCTTAAACTCTTGATTGCTGCAGTTTTAATGAACACTTTGAGATACGTATCCTAATTTGCACTCTCTTTCATATTGCAGGGTCTGACTCATCTACACCACCACAAAGTCATCCATCGAGACATCAAAGGCCAGAACGTGCTGCTGACGGAGAATGCAGAGGTCAAGCTCGGTCAGTCTGTCGCCCGGCCACATCTCTCTACACTCACTTTTGTCTTTCCCATGTGACTAAAAGGGCTTCTGTGCAATTACACTGCAAAAAGTGATTAAAAATAGGAGGAAAATCTTGATATGTGACTAAATGGCACTGTCCCATTGGCAAATCTTGTTTTTAAGACAGTCAGAATGTACTCAAATTATGATTTAAAAAACAGTCCATTCGAGCAGTTATTGCCTCATATTCTTGGCTTGCAATCACGTGACGCATAAACTTCCGGTTGACGAAGTGGTGGTCAGGCCAGCAAGAGTTGCTGCTGATATGTGGAGAAAATGCAACTCTTCCAAGTATTTTTTTGCTTTTTTGGATATTTCATGACACTTTGAAGCTACTAACTCATCATTCTAACAATATGCACAAGGCAGAATTTTTCCACTACATGTTTTGATGATATCAAGGTTGAAGCTACTGGCACCGCAAATGCTAATAATGCTAATAATGCTAATAAGTCTCCATTCTTCCGCTGTATGTTACTTACATTCTGTAACGTCTTTGTTTATGCTGCCTCTACCATCGACAATAAAACATGTCTTCTGTCTGAATTAATGACACGATCTCATTTTGGATGCTGCAACTTTTCCGTCTGTCTGTGGGTTAAGGAACTTAGAGTTAAGGTCCTGAAGGACAAATCTAAAGAGCCATGTAAGTAACGATTGGTGAATTAACTTTTGTCATTCTCAACAGAACAATGCGTCTGTGGTTGTGTCCTTTTCAGGTCAAACATTCACAGTATTCATCTAAAACGCCGACTCATACCTGACTATTAAATAAAAGATGGGTATGTAATAACTGCGCTTTGTGACTAAATGGCTGCATTGCAAGCAAGCAATTTCATCATTTGCAGTGTACAAGTCCTTCCTCCAAAATACAAATCTGGGATAACTGACTTTCATTCCACAACACATTTAAAGAAGATGTCTGCAACTCCAACTCATTTTGAAAATAACACATTTTTAACCATTTGACCCTGTACTATATCATCTATATTAAGTATAGTAAGTAATATTTTCTAGAGCAGAATAGTTAGACCAATGGTGAGAGGCCTCTGCTGTCTAACATGAATTTGATTTCAGTTCATCCAATCAGCAACCTGTCTGGGCGGGTCTAACTGGTGCTTGCATTCACTTTAACTATATTTCCATACTTGTAAGAATAAGCCACAATTTGACGCTTTGGGGAGAGCGCTGATTGGCTGATTGAGAGTATTTCTATCCTTTTAACTATTCTGTCTGTAAAAGCTGTGCGAAAACTTTAGAGCCAAACTGTTGGTGGAGAGATGGGAACTTTCTGTTAACTCTCTTGTCAGAATCAAACTATATGCTGCCAATGTTTAAATAGTGGACATATAAGTAATAACAGTACATTTTTTACAACGTTTTAACTTTCCTTCATTGCACAAGTTCATCCTTCTCAGTATATTGTTTTCCTTCGCCTTCACCCAGCGTTTCCTTCCTCTTTTCTGCTGAGCACACTTGTCTCTTTATAGCGTTAGGGGCAGGGAAGGCACTGTTTCCAAACCCAGTGGGGAGAGGATTATGAAGTGTCTGCTTCTCAATAAGGCCCACCCATATGCTCCGCAGCCAGCACAAAAACCCCAACACAAAGTACAGCGTAGCCTATTTGACTAAAAACAATCTCTGTGCATTTTAGAACAGTCTAGTCGCTCAGTTTTGCTGGCTTTGCTTCACCGTCTCATAGGAGAACTTTATACAGCCACTATAGTTACACGTTTACCTTTTTTGGCTGTATTCTTGTATGGATACTTTCTTTCTCGTCTCCAACAACATAAGGTGTTTTTCTAGCTTTTCTAATGATGTATGAGTGTGGCCTCAGCGTATCCTAAACTAACAATGGGTTATCTTTTCTAATAAAGATTAGGGAAGAGCGCCTCACTGGATCGTACAAAAATGTGAAAGTTGTATGTATTTCCAGATGCTTTCACTAAGTGAAAATATTACAGAATTCCCAAAATAATGTCCCAACTTGAGGAATTTTAATTAAGTTGTTATACAAATGTAATATCTCCATTATATTAATTTGTAGTATGTATTTGTTATGTATCATGGACTTTTCACACATTCATGATAATAGTGTAATCTTGTTATAATCTTACGCAAAGTTACTTTAAAACTTCCCATTTAATAATAATAATCATATATTCAAAGTTTTGTACTTTTTGTACTCAATATTACAATAAGTTATTCATTCCAACATGTTTGGCATAATTATATTTTATCAGTGTTAAAGCTTGGGTACCTATCATTTTTTGTTTCAAAATGATTTATTTTACATTGTACGATATTAAAATAAGAGCTGGGAGCTGATTGGCTGATTGAGGGTGGTCCTTTCTTTTTGACTACGGTCAAAATAAATACATGCATGTAAAAACTAATAATAGAAACAAACTGTTTTAAGAAAAAATAACATGTTCCATTCTATGTGGTTTGAAAATTAAGTACCCCAGCTTTAATGCAAGAAAGTAATATTGTTGCATAGTGCTTCACAAAACAAGATAAAAGAAACAATACAAGGCATCAACATCATAAATAACCACAGCACATAAAAAAAAGCATCTCTGCTAAACAGAACTGTTTTTAACCTGGATTTGAACACTGTCAGAGAAGATTCCTGTCTCACATTTACAGAAAGACTGCTCTGAATCTGAAACAACAATTCTATCAACACATCTTCTCATGGTTTTGTCTGCGTTGCAGTGGACTTCGGTGTTTCGGCACAACTGGACCGGACGGTGGGCAGGAGGAACACGTTCATCGGGACGCCTTATTGGATGGCCCCGGAGGTCATAGCCTGTGATGAGAATCCGGAAGCCACGTATGACTTCAAGGTGCCTCTCGTCTCTCCCTCTGCGTTAGGATCTGGAGTTTTTATCACCGCTGGTTTTTATTTACACTTGTCTGTTTGATTGCAGAGTGATTTATGGTCTCTGGGGATCACTGCAATAGAGATGGCGGAAGGAGCTCCCCGTACGTACAGTCAATCATTTAGGCCTCACACGTTTACTGTCTTTGGAGAGAGGCACACGTGATCACAGGCAGATGGGAAGAAAGACAATTCAATCCAAACCAAAGAAGGAAGTGTCCAAAGTTCTGCATTGGTCTTTTCACAATAAATACACATACAGTAAATATATGAAGGACGATATATTGCTTCAGATAGTTATTGTGATAAACGATAATATTGTAGCTACTCTATGTCACTGATGCCGAGACAATACGGTTAATATTTAGGCATATTTAACCCTACACAGAAAGAGAAAAGTCACACAAGTGCAAAGAATAAATTTTGAGGCCCAAAATATTTTTATATAGTTTCATGCATGAGCTAAGGAAGGATGAGTCAATATTGTTTGTCAATCAATCAATCCATCAATAGTATTTGTTTTCATAGCGCACAATTAAAACAGCCTAGGCTTACCAAAGTGCTGTACAGACGGTAAAAAACAGCACAATAAAGCAATCATAAAAATACAGAAATATTATGCATATAAACACAGAAAATGTCTCTTTCTATCTGTTATTAAAAGCCAAGCAGGGATTTAAAATGTGCGAGTGATTGTTCAGGTATAATGTGCAAACGTAAAAAGCATATATACTGTTTGTAGCTGAATCACTGCTCGGCCCATTTAAGGCAACAATTATAATTATGATCAAAAATAAAGTAACATTTTATTACTGGTATTAAATAGGTATAACCACAGAGATATTTAGCTTAAGTGTTGTTTTGGCAGCAATTTTAGGGAGTGTTCTTACCCCCACTACTGTATATGACTGTATATATACTTACTGTATATATACTACTCACATATAAAGTGAATATTGCAAGCTTTTTAATTATAAGTTACCTCAACCATTTGGTAGATTATCACATCTATTTGAAGCTTGGATCCGAAATATACCTCTTTTTGGGGCATCTCACTTGGTTTTAGCCACTTTTAACATCAAACTGCATCTCAACCATTTGGCAAAAGGCCTATAATGCAAAAAAAAAAAAGGGGGTTAAAAACACAAAAGACGTTCATTATTTGTGTTAAGTGTGGTCCTACACCTTTAAAAACCCAACAAAGAAACAGAAATGCATTGCTTTCTTCAAGGAGTGAACATTAAAGGGTTAAGGGCAATTACAACACAGTCATTCTAGTAATCACCAAATCCGATGTAAGTCCGAGTCTCTAACCCTGCTCTAATTTATGCTCTTCAGACACACGCTTAAGTAACAGGACTGTGCTCGTGTGTAAATTGAATTGCGTGTTATCAGTATTGGCAGTTGACATTGATTAGATTAACAGAGAAACTGCAGCCTTCTTTGACTAAACGCCATAACCATGTTTAGTCCAATTACGGCTCGTATTCTTCGGCTCTCACGCTCACCTGTTTCTTTCAGCGCTGTGTGACATGCATCCCATGAGGGCGCTCTTCCTCATCCCACGGAACCCCGCCCCCAGACTCAAGTCAAAGAAGTGGTACGTTAATATTGTTATATGCCCAATTGCCTATACCACATTAGAATGCTGGTATTAGACATGCTACGCTTATGTGGTTTACAACAAGCAGTTTGTATTTTCTGGACTGTAAGCCGCATCAGATTATAATTTTGTATTTGTTTTTTTCAATTTTGTTTTTTTTGGACCAAAATTGGTACTATTTATGTATTTATTTATTTACTGAACACTACATACATAGACAAACAAAGTTAAATTAGTATCCAGACCAGTACCCGACCGGACCCACTACTCGTGAGGGGCCCTGCTGTTCCTCGGAAGCCGCTCTACTGTATGTACTCTGAGGGTGAATGTTGCATTTTGGAAACATTTGGGTGTACGGTATCCTTATGTGAATACAGTTCAAACACTCACATCCATACACTATCTACACGCATGCCTCCCTTCAGCTCTGACCCTTGAATGTGACCGTGTGCTCCAGGTCAAAGAAGTTCCAGTCGTTTATAGAAAACTGTTTGGTGAAGAGCCACACCCAGCGGCCGAGCACCGAACAGCTCCTCAAGCACCCCTTCATCAAGGACCTGCCCAACGAGAGGCACATCCGCATCCAGCTCAAGGACCACATCGACCGCACAAAGAGGAAGAGAGGCGAGAGAGGTGGGACCATTCTCATTATACATGCATGGCACTGTAGAACTAACAATCCACCACTACAAACTCTTTATGGTCATAATACTGGTTATGATGCCTCTTATACTACTGTTTAATCTGAACACAAGCACACAAAGACAAGTCAGTTTTTTACTTGCAAAAGCAAGAAGGAATGACTGGGATAGAAGGAGGATAGATCATGTGCTGCATATCGTTCTCTCCCAGTCACTACCAAACCCAGTCACAACTGCAACACTACCGCAACTTAGTTTCGCATCACATATTTTTGCTTAAAAACCTTCACTCATACTAAATTGATACATTCATTCGCAACCGGGCATGAAATGGAATTATTTCAGATCACTTAGCAGTTACTAGCACACCAACATTCATTTATAACTAGTCAAAACCGGAAACAACACAGACAACTTTTAGTTAACCTAAATCACTTGCACTCGAAAGTCGAAATCAAACACAATCTGAAACTACATCTGCCAACAACATGCGTCTACAGTATATACCCAGTGCTTAGCTAGTATGTAATGACTAGCTAGTACTAGGTACTGGAGAGAAGACTTCAACCAATGGTCGAATCTTGGATTCAGGAGGAGCAGTGTGGTTTTCGTTCCGGTCGCGGAACACTGGACCAGCTCTATACTCTCCATCGGATACTCGAGGGTTCATGGGAGTTCGCCCAACCTATGTATGAAATAGAAAGGGATGAGCTGGAGGAAGTGTGTGTGGAAAGGCAAGTCTTGTCGTCTCTGCTCAGACTCAAAGAAAATGGATGGATGGTAATGACTAGTGCTTTGGGCATTAGATCAGTTATCACTGGGAGTATGAAGACGTTTCGTCCGATGATTTAGAATGAAATAATCGTCCCAATCGCACTTTTCATTGATCCAAACCATACTTTTCATTCACGCAGATGTCTTAAATTCACAATAAATTAATCACGTTCATTTGAGTACTCTAACTGGAGTCTAAATTAGTCCATGACTTTTTTTCAGTGTATAATAATTCCTTGACTTAATATTTAAGCCATAACCTTTTAGGCTTACATACTTTATTTCACGCACTTGAGAAACATTGTAATACTTAATAATCCAAGAAAACTGTATGTTTTTATATTACCCATCCACAGTCTCATTCTGTGGACTGTGCAAAAACATTACAAAAACAACACAAATATTCAACATAATGCAATATCACATAGGGTCCACACAACACACATTCCAACAATAGCACGGTGGCGCAGTGGTTAGCTTTAGCCCTTACACTAGAAAGTAGTGGGAGGGAGGTGTGTGGTCAGAGAGTGTTTGAGCCTGTGTCTTGTAGTATCTTGTGCTTGTGTCGACTGTGTGTGTATGTTGGGATGTGTTGAATTAGTGAGAGGGGTTGCAGCCAAAAGAGCGTCTTCCAAGCTTTTCCAAACGGTAAATTTCTGATTATTTTGTATCTTTCTTATAGTTCATAATTCCTTTTGCATAGATAAAAATCTACTACAACTGCTGCTACTTACTACTACTACCACTACTTTCAGAAAAACTGCTACTCCGTTAAACATACATCAAAATAATGTCTCAAACTCATAGCGGTTATGCTTCCAGCTGCACATGTGCTATAACCACAAATGGACACTTTGAAAATCCACCCTGAAGATATACAGCTGCAAGTCTGTGATAAATTGCTCACACAATACGCCTCAATGGCCCAAGATTTATTCAGGCAGAAACAACAGTGACACGTTCCCTTCTCTTTCCCCCATAACCCACACTCGCTGCATTATAGTGGAGAAACTGTCAAAGTGCCATATTAGCTGCTTGAACAAACGCCATCTTGCACGGTGAGTGTCACGTCACGGTGTCTGTCATCGCCAAGACCAAAGCTTTCTCCAGCTGTCACGGTGACGGCCTGCTTTTCACTCTTCACTTCCACACTGCAGGCTTTTTGCCGACTCGCTGAAAGTGGTCCACAATGATGGTCATGTTTATTAGCATGTCCCTGGCGATTTATAGCGCAGCTGTTTTTTTTCTTCAATGGTATTTTGTTGCATTGCCATGAAAAGATGAGCAAAAATAAATAGATAAATACATACATGAATGGGAAGTGCAAAATATGTGGTATAATAATAATACATTTTATTTCTTCGTCTTTCTTGAAACCAAAGGTTGCCGAACAATAGGGGTTTTGCCACCACGTGACCTACAAAGCAACCTACTACTGCTCCATGTTGGATGGCAGGTTTTGAAACTCAGACTCAGTGTCAGATTCAACACTGTGACGGAGAGTGCACCTTTACTTAGACTGATGGGAAAGTTTTGCTGCATTTTTAATTGTAGTAAACGCTCAGAGCAAGACAAAGATGCCCTTCTTTTTTCTTAAATACCGGCGGTAATTAGCTAGCAAGGAAAACAAAAAAAAATACAAAGTTAAAAGCATGCATGAACAGAGGATGGCAAGTCACAGGGTGCTTTACAATATTTGTGGGCTCTTTATTTATATATCGCCTTTCACAGACCAGAGTCATAAAGCGGTTTACAATTGTTATTTTTGGGCATTTTGTCCACTCACTCAGAGAAGGGAGGAAGGTCGCCAGTACAGGAGGCGCTTGCCAGACCTATTGTGCATGTTTTTAGTGGTAGGGGAAACCGCAGCACCCAGAGGAAACCATACGCAGACACAGGGAGATCATGCAAACTCCACTCGGAAAAACCCAAGACCTTATTTCTGAGAAGCATGCTCTCCTCTCAACCCATACTTCCATATTATTCTCTTGAAAATGCAAAGGAGTACTTCTCTGGAAGTCCTTTCTACAGGCCAAATGCATGTATATTTTGAATATTGTCACCACTTCTTGATACTGTATGTGCTGAGTGAGCGTTTTATAACTGAGAAGATAAACAAAAAAATTAAAATAAGACATTTGACACTTACCATAGTTACCAGGAAAGACTTTTCCTTTACCACGATTTCATACCACTGGCTCAATGTAACATCAAAGACACATTGATTTATGTGTAAATCCTTGCCCCTACAACGCCATTTGTGAAATTTTTAAAAGCAGTTCTATTATGTCCATTTAGAAGCAACCACCAAGAAAACTATTTTTATTTAACAATCTCCCACTTTTGTTTTCTTTCTGTAGATGAAACCGAGTATGAATACAGCGGCAGTGAGGAAGAGGATGAGGACAGAGATATGGGCGAGCCAAGGTCAGTGGACTCGCGACTAACAAATGCACTGCTGCTGTTTAAGATAACCGCCACTATTAATATCGTTTGTTTGCAGCTCCATCATCAATATCGCCGGGGAGTCGACCCTGAGGCGGGACTTCCTGCGCCTACAGCTGGCCAATAAGGAGCGATCAGAGGCCCAGCGCCGACAGCAACTGGAGCAGCAGCAGAACGATGAGCACAAGAGGCTTCTGCTGGCGGAGAGACAGAAACGCATAGAGGAGCAGAAGGAGCAGAGGAGGAGGCTGGAGGAGGTGACTGACACCATATACATGTGTTAAATGCATACATTTACAGGTTGGAATTGCAATGGCTCAAAATACACAATACAGATAGAAATAAAGTGCTGTTCTTTAGCACTTTTCCTGATCTGGTTGAGAGTTACATCATTAAAAGCTGGGGGAGAGAGCTTTCAAACCACACAGCTATGAGCTTTGTAATGCAATCTGTCTATTTCCTTGCTCTCTGAGTTCTGTCACTAGTTTTCACATGAAGCTTTGTGTATTTTATTACAACTTTATATCGTCTTTTTCGGACTAGAAAAAGAGAGGATCAGCCGAAAGCATCTAATAGTGACTTACGGGATCTTTCTTACTAGTGTGCAAAATACAACATGTTTTCTCCCTAAATGAAGACGGCATGTTGTGGTCAGGTTTGTTCACTCATCTTTCCCTATAACACTAGAACTCCCAGAGCAGTCAATTTGACAGCTTTTTGTGTAATTACTTATGTAAATGTGAGGCTTTTTCTGTATTTAGTTTATTTCAATGTCATTATGTTTATAAAATTATCTCGATCCTAGACTATCCCACACTGATTTCCTACATCAGCTAGTCTTTAGTGGTGATGTTTTTCAGTTATATTCACTATTTCTAGCATGTATTCAAGGTAAGAACGGTATGAAAGATTGTGAAAAACTAATCATTTTTCCAGCATTTCATTAATTGGAATGGGAGCCGTCAAAATATATTTTTTTTAAATGTTTTTTTTATTTGACAGGGAAATGTAGTCATATACGATACTTTCATAAAATTCTTGTCTTTTGTCTTTCTCTCTATTTGCGTGTTTGCTACACCCCTACACCGCACAAAAAGATGGCATTTTGACAGCGCTTCTTCTTCTACTATATCTCCGTGTATAAACCCGGCAGACTGCACCGCCAGGATGCCTCACGTCCTATCCCACGCTTGTTATTTGCGCCACTGCCCTGACGTCATATGAAACCCAAGAATTACATTAGGAGAGATGCAGCTGATGCAACACATCAGCTGCATCTGTATATAGCCAATGCTCTGGGAGTTCTTGTAGTTTCAGAGTTCCGGGAGTCCTAGTGTTAATTAAAAGCCAGTCTTTCAACATTTGGAGATGTGTTGCTCAGTACCTCAATTGGGAATCACTGCTCCTGACAAGTTCCCCCAGTGGGTTTGGAAGCATGGGTCAAATGCAGAACACACATTTGCCTATGGGGCTTTAATATTGCCTTACCTTACCTAACCTTACCTTGTAGTTTCTTGTCTCAATCTATATTTACAATAGTCGTACAAAGTCTATTCTCTCCTCTGTGTCCTCTCCTGTAATTAATCATTTTCTTTTTCTGCTGAGACTAAAATAGAGCACATAGACAGTCCCAGGCAGGCTGCAGTGCTTCCCAATGCTCCTGTGTCTCAGTTCCAGAGAGCAAAGGCTTAAAGCAGGAAATCCTCAGCCAAAAGCCACGCTCAGTGTGGGCTCCCAGCAGATCCATCCTCCCCAAGGCCCTTCCTTTTACAGTACCATGACTCAATTGGACCAACACGACCACTCTACCATGGAAAAAGTGAACGCTAACAAAGGCATTTTTTGTTCTATGTCTGAATACATAGTGCTGCTGTATCCAAACCAGGACAAGATCTGCTGTTAGAAGTATTTTAAAACTTCTTATAAAGACGTCACAGTCAGTCCTGGGTCCGTGAGAGTTTGTGTTTAATGCAGGATTCAGACTTGCAGAATAACTTGATTTTGTGTGTGTTGGATAAGATAAGATAAGATAGACTTTTTTGATCTCACAATGGAGAAATGTACGTGTCACATTTGGCATAAATAGGGTCACTCAGGTTGTGCAAATGAAAGAAATTGTTAAAAATTGAAAAAGATTTATGCCAGATAAAATGTAAAATGTGAGATATTTAATAATAGAAATGTGTGATGAATTGTTTGTTTGTTTATTTAGATACATATGCCATTGTGTTCTGTGACAAGTATGACATCCTTTCAGTCTGTTGACAGTCATCACTATAGTTATAAAATATGTACAGCGTTGTATACGAACAATGAACAATGAATACTGTATATACAAACCATTACCAGTCTGGAGCATCCCTATCAAAAAGACTTGTATCCATTCAAAGCTCTCTTGTCTCAATCTCTTTACAAAGTCATGGAGGTAAATAACGCTGTCTCGTCGGCACAGTTGATTATAATACATCACTTCATGTTGTATGTTGGCGTATAGCAACAACAGCGAGAGCGCGAGTTGCGGAAGCAGCATGAAAGGGAACAGAGGAGACGATACGAGGAACTGGAGCAGCTCCGTCGAGAGGAAGAGAGGAGACACGCAGAGAGAGAGCAGGTCTGTGGAACCAGAGTGTGTGTATGTGTGTGTGTGTGAGTTTCTGATAACACCAGAGTAGAAGAACCACCGTACAGTCTTGGCCTTTGTCCTGATCAGCTACATACATATACAAGCCTGGTGATGGCCATATTCCCACTGTAGAGCTGTCATGAAGAGCCAAAAGTGCACACGCAATTTTTTTGAATGGCTTTTGCTTTGATAAGTGTGTAGCCAAAGCTGTGAGCAGTGGAGTCCAGCCCTTATATGGCATTTAATTCAAGGTTCAAGGCGACCAATGTGTAGATTCTTTTTGCATTTATTCTGAGACATGGAACCTACACAAAAATATTCATAAAAATCCCATTTACACAAATGACAATAAAAACACAATGGATAAGTAAAGAAAGGACGGTAAAAAGAAGGTAAAAGTGGTCAAAAGGTGCTTAGTCAGGACTCCAGAGCTCAAAAACCCATGATAAGAAATAATGTCTTCTGTGTCTACACCTGCTCAGTTTATTGCAAGTTTTAGAATACACTTTGCAGTACATTGTTTAAGAGTCACTTAATTTTATTGCTACAGTTAGTTAACAATAAACCGGTGGAGTCTGTTCCTTTTCTGGTGTTATTTTTCATTTGTTCAACCTTTTATCTGTGTCTTCTCACATCTTCTCACTGTCCCTTGAGTCCTGTTAAAGTAGATGGTCCTGTGTCTGTTTCACACTTCTCTCTGACTGTCTCTGTGTCGACATGCTGCTCAGGAGTATATCCGTAGACAGCTGGAGGAGGAGCAAAGGCAGTTAGAGATTCTTCAACAACAGCTTCTGCAGGAACAAGCTTTACTGCTGGTAACCGAACCACCACCCCAGCCTCCATCTGTGCTGTGTTCCCCCATTACTGCTGCATGATCCCAAGTGGCCCTTCAACCAACGATACAATTACACAGGGTTTACTTATACCCCTGGGAGTGGTTTGCTCATTGCCTGTCCAGAGTCATCACTGTAGTGTTGACACAGGTTTACTAACATTCTTTGATTCCAGTTACCAAAATCTCAAGAACCATAGCGTACTGTGTATCAAAAACTTCATATAGTCCATGACATGTTTTCAGTCTGTAACCATATATATCTGTTTATATATATTTTTTGTTTTGTTTAGTTTAGTGTTTGATTTTAGGTTAGTCATTTTGTAATATTATAGATGTTCTTCTCTCCCCTAAAACACCACCACACCGCCGCCTCTGATCTGCTCCTCTGTCCCTGCCCCTCTCACTGGTCTGTGTGTGCATGTTTGTGTTGCAGGAGTACAAGCGTAAGCAGGTGGAGGAGCAGCGTCAGGCTGAGCGGCTGCAGAGGCAGCTGCAGCAGGAGAGGGCCTACCTCGTATCACTACAACAGCAGCAGCAACAGGAGGGCCGACAGGCCGACAAGAAACAGCTTTACCACTACAAGGATGTCATCAACCCTAATGACAAGCCTGCCTGGGCCAAAGAGGTACGCAAAGTTCTCCTTTGCATTTTCATTCTCTCTGTGCCCCAAACAATAATAATAATGAGTTGTCTGGTTGGTTTGTTTGTGCAGGAGCTCAGCGCTCTTTACTTGCATTCCTTTTGTGTGAAAATGAGCATTTTCAACCTGAGTTTCCTCAATTGTATTGGGGAAAATTGTGTGAATTGGTATTGGTATTGGACTGTAATTTGCTGGGTTGTTTGTTCACACTGTTATGACTCTTGACTTTTAGGTCCAGAAACCACAGCTTGGTAACCCTCCCCGCTCCAAACTTCAACATCATCATTCATTCAACCAGCCTCCTCCCTCCTCTGCACCACACAGGCATCCCCCCAGAAGGGCCCCCTCCCAAGGCCCTTACCCCGTTCCCAATGACTTAGACGCAGGGCTGAAGCAGGAGATCAGTCAGCAGGTGAAACTATTACGGGCTCAGCGACAGAAAAGCCAGAGCTCAGGAAACTCAGAGGACCAACCCAAGCCCAGCGCACAGGGCTGCCGCAGTAAGGGCTCTAGTAACAACCACAAACAACCTTCTAAACAGGGAGACAACCCCACAGCCCATCCTCCTGCTGCAGACCCATCCAGGAGAGACAAGCCCAGGGACAGGCCTCTGTCTGCCCCTGAGCGTCCCAAGAGTCCAGGACCCACCTCCAAACCCACACAGGTCAAACTGGTTAGTGACTGTCCACGGGTTAGATTGCACGCACCCTGCCGCCGAGTAGACGTAGACATAGACGTAGAGGTAGACATAGACATAGTTGCAGACAAACGTCCTTTACAGTCCCAGCGACGCTCTTTGGCACCCAGAAATTCTCTGGCCATACCCTTACCACGAGCCCGATCCTTCTCCCCATGCCGTGGAGGAGACAATAATCTGTCTGAGAAATGTGTCCGCGACAGTTTGTCCGATGCCAAAAGAAGGGCTTCCACACCGAGCTGCAGTAACAACTTCCTACAGGTCCCTCGCCCCAACAGCTTTATTCCTCTTGTGGAAAAAGAGCGGAGAGGTGGGATCAGAGGAAGCTCTTCTCTGGTGGACCTCAATGCCTGGGCTCCAGATTTTCTAATTAAGTCCAAGAGTAACGAAAGTCTGCGGTGGTCCTCCTCTCAGGACTCCACAGACTCATTCCCCTCCCCCTCAGACTACATGTCCCCTGTCTTCTCTCCGGACTACGACACCCTGAAACCACTCCATCCACACCTCCTCTCCCCACCCCAGGCCTCTGCTAGGGCTTCCCCCAGGGGCTCTCCTTTTGGATCACAGACTCAAATATTCGTTCAATAAGTTTCACCCTTAATTTGGAAATATGTGGTATAAACACTGATTTAAATCTTTAGAAATGAATCATTACATCCCCAAAATAATAATAAAACATTGGTTTTATGCATTTACCAATTTACATGACGCTTCATTCACATTATTCATTCACTCCCTACATCAGGGGTCTCCAAACCGGTTGAGAAAGCGCCGGAGTGGCTACAGGTGTTCCACCAGACCAAGCAGGAGCAGAGCAGAATCCGCCCATTTCCTCAAGTGAGTTCAGTCTTCAACCTGAATATCTGAGGAAATGGGTTGAGTCTGCTCTGCTCCTGCTTGCCCCGATAGAACCCCTGCTGCCACTGGACCGGCTTGGAGGCCCCTGCCCTACATGGTGTGGATGAGCTACTACTGGGTCAGACTGACAGAGGCGAGGCAACCAGTATGTTATCGGCTCTTTCAACCACCACCAATCATTCACTCATACTAGTCAATGTGGGTGAAGTGTCTTGCCCATGAAGACGACAACAGCACCTGGTGTCCTCAGAGTTCTCCCATCCCAGTACTAACCAGGCAGCAATAAAGCAGTAATAATTTGAAGCGTAAAAACATTCTTTTTAAAAACACTTTTTAGAATTTGTATGTCAAAATCAGTGTTTATACCATTTAACTTGAATATATATGACTGCAAGTGTAAATATGACAATACATATAGCTTGAATCCTTAATATTGCACATAATGTTAATAGGCTGTCAGACTGTACAACAGACCTGGATGAGTCTTCTGCTGCTGGACACATGAATTTATCCTACACGGATCAATAAAGTATCTATCTATCTACATATCTATCCATATAGATGAACACATGAATGAATTGGTATTAAAGAATCCATAACTTAACTTCATGTCAACAATACAAAACAAACACTGACATATATTTGACATCTGTATAAACATTTTATATCCATTGAAACCACTGAGTCTCTGTTCCAAAGAGGATTTCGTCCACTTTAAATTTAGCATTTCAATGTAGTTTAGTTTATGAAGCTTCCATGCCCATTTTCACCCACTGCCCCAAACACGGCCCGTCCCACTGGTGATGTCAGCAGGAAATCAGGCCAATCACTGCCCATATTAGGTCAGTCCTTTTGCCTTTGACTCGCAGTCTGGTGACGGGCGCTGGGACAGTGGTGGTGGACAAACTACTAACACATTCTCTTCCTCATCCTACAATTAACCCAGCATATTGTCTTTCTTTGTAGAAGAAGAAAAATTAATCCCAAGTGAAATAAAAATCCAATAATGTTGACTGGAAGTTTACACCCATGTTAATAATATTGGACATTAGTACAATACGTAACATTGTTTAGCATGGTTATGATGTTGGGATTTAAAGCTGGGGTACCTAACTTTCCCTAATCCCTAAATTATACATGTTATTTGTCCCAGCTGAAGTATTGTGAACAAATCAGAGTGCAACATATTGTATTCATCTTATTAGAAGACATTTTATCTTTCGCATGCTTAGAGAGAGCCCTGTCAGTCACTTTTTGATGCTTTGAGCTCAGAGCTGATTGGTTGTGCAAGAATGTTCTTTTTTTCACTATTTTTTTTTTAATAAAGCTGATCTAAAGAGGTATCAGATGTGCAAGGACCGTTAGATGGATTTTGTTATACAGTTCCATATTAGGTACCCCAGCTTTAATTAGAAGCGTTAACTTCCATTATTCAAAAGGAGTTTTAATGAGCTTGGATTTGATTAACTCTATTCTCTCTTCTAGGATTATTAGCAGTACCTTTTCATATTCAATTGCCTTTTTTATAACTTACTAACACGATGCTTAAAAACTAGCAATGGTGTATTAGGAGATAGATGACTAACTCTAAAATGCTAATATTAAAAATCGCTTCTACTGCGGGGATTACAGAAAGCTTCCACCTTTTAGTGTTTATCCAAATTCACTCCAAGCAATAGTTATGACACTGCACATTTTACAGAACAAGACAAATCCGGGACGAACATCGACTGCGTTGATTGTTTTGAGTTAAAAAAGTGGAATTTTGGAGCGTTCCTTAGAGCTTTCTCCATAATCTGCTAATCTGATTACACATGCCAGAGAAGCTTTCTGATTCCCCGCGCTCTCATTTTGAACAGTGGCGCGTGTGAACTTGCTGGAGTCACATCAGGTCACATTTGTTTGGCTTTGACGGCCTTTCTTCAATGTGAGAATTGAAAACAGATTTTTATCAGACCATCAGACTGTTATCTCTCTGTGGATGTAGATAGCCAGTGTTGGGCGACTTACTTCAATTCAAAGTTACGTGTTACACTACAATATTACAGTCTCTGAATACTACTTCTACATTTCTTTTCAAATACTTTTGCCAAATATTTATCTAAATACTAAGTGTAGCTGTTGATGCTATTGCAAAAGGTTGATATAGCTTTTGGTGTTGCACATAAAGAGCACTTAACTGTTATGTTCCGCACATCTTTGTCTCCAACATACTGTACTCTAAATAACGGCAGTATGCCCATCTTGAAAATGTACTTTTGTTCAACGTAGTGCCTGCTTCAGCTTCAGCCATCTTCAACCAGAAAGGAAAAAAACATTGTTCCCGGCGTAGTATTAAAAAAACATAATTATTTTGTTCTTGAATGCCTAACATTACCGCGTTACAGCAAAAAGCTATACATTACAGTAATTACATTACTTTAGTAACACATTACTCCCAACATAGCTGGGCAAAGAATAGCACTTACTCCACATATTGTTGTTTTTACAGTCATTTGTAGCTTAATTGACCCAACGATTTCTAACAGATACACAAATAATCAATTTTGACCATAATTTTTACCATTGGGCAATTAGAATGAAAGTAAATTTGATTACACCTCCATATGTCCATTTTAAAAACTGGAGTAGTTCACAAAGGAACACTAAATCAAACAAGGAGCAATGTTACTCCAATACATGAAAGTGGAAAAAGTAGATTGCAAAACAAATACTTCCATGGCTTAACTTCTGCAAGCGCTTATACAGTCAGTTTCCCACAGAGTTTTAGACGTCTGATGCTGCGTGGTCAACTCCTGATCATGGTGTTGTGTTAGTTTGGCCTGTTACCATAACTACAGTATAATACTAAATTATACTTTGCATTTGTTAGGATTAAAGGTGCACCATGTTACTTTCTGGTAGATGATCGTCAACCTATGTAAATTGTGCATTGTGTGTTAACCCTTTAGGTATTCCCACAAAACAAATCTGTTATTGATTGTAGTAGTTTCAGGGCTTCATCTTTTTTCTGTTTTATATCAAATTCCTGAAATAAATACTTTGCCGTTCAAAGGCTTAACATGTTTTCACTATTACTATGGTTACAGTTCAATTCCATATTGGAGGGTGTATCTGTAAGCAAAACCCTTACATACGTTTTGCACCTTTTTCACCAATATCACGAGTTATTGTGACAGGCCTTATATAGCACAGTTACCCAATGTAACTATAGCTCTGTGAGTCTTTCAAAGTGCCTTATATTCGTGTGATGTGAGTAACAGTGCTTTACCCCGTCCCAGGTGGAGGAGCGCTCTAAGCTGAACAGACAGAGCTCTCCAGCCGTGCAGCACAAAGCATCCCACCGTATCTCCGACCCCTCCCTCCCTCCCCGCTCCGAGTCCTTCAGCAGCACCCCTCCCGTGCAGCGCCCCCTAGAGGCTCAGGTGTGTGACAGCGAGGAGCTGAGAGCCGGTCCGAGCACGAGCCGCCGTCATGCTGTATTCACATGCCTCTGAAAATATGATATTGTGGAAAAAAAATAAAAGTTGTTTAGTTCCCAGCAACCAAGGACACCGCCAGATTGTTTATTGTGTTATTTTTGATGGTAAAAAAAGTGTGATTATGTTCTGTGCCCATAGTGTGTCTAAAAAAGATAAACAGAACCAAGTTATTTTAGGCAGTCACTTATGTTTTTGCTGAAGATTTAGCTTTTCCACAATATTGTATTTTTGCAGCATATAAGAATAATCTTTCCTTCTTGCTTCATCCAATAGTACCTTATCTTCAGTGCCTAACTTACTTTCTCTTACAATGTCCATGTCATTCTGTCTCTATAGCTTTCTGCATAGACCATTGTCACCATCCCACTTGTAAACTAACAGATATACTGTATATTCGTCCATGTTATCAGATGGCTCACTTAGTCCCAGTGAAGACCCACTCCAGCTCCATGTCGGGATCCCAGTCTCTGCAGGACCAGTCCGGCTCGGCTCTGAATGAGGGCATCGGGGTGGGCTCCGCGAGACCTGAGATGCCCCGACAAAACTCTGACCCCACCTCGGACACGCCTGCCATGCCCGTGCGGGACAGGGAGAGAGAGCGGGAGCGTGATCGGGATAGAGCGGCCTGGCTGCGAGAGGAGGATATGCCCCCTAAGGTCAGAGAAGCTCACCCATATGATTCATACCTTTGTTTTGGAACTAGTATATGCACTGCAAAAAACAACATTATTATTTCAAGAACTGTGGCTCTATTATTTCAAGGGAGACATTTCTTGTATTTTTTGGAAACAAGATAATGTTGTTGAGTGAAGGGATTGCAGGAGTGCTGCACTGGATAAAAGATAGTAAAAACACTTACAGGTGCTCAAGATAATGTTGCTTGTGCATTAGAAAGTCTTGTTTTAAGGCAGGCAAAATGTGCTCAAATTAAGATTCATATTGCCAATGTTGAGCAATTTTTGGACTTATTTTTCAACACCTTTTGCTGTTAGACGACACAGTCAAAGTGAACAATTCAAATAGAAGTAGTTTGAATGGAAACTGTGTATTTTGTTTTTTGTTGTGATAAGTATAGCTAGGAAAGTACTGCATACATACCTGTTAGCAGTCACAGAAGGAGAAGGCTGAGAAGAGATGACCAAACATCCGGAAATGTGGGTATTTTGGATCATCCCCTGGACCTTCTCCTGGTGGTGATAAAATAAAACAGTGCCTTGTATATTTGTGTCCAACAGCACTGTGAGATCAAGACACATTTCCATTAAAGTTGAACCTTGAAGCTTGAAAAATTGTAATAAATCAATATTGATTTGCACTTTTTCGTCCGGTAAAAACAAAACTATAGAGGATGAACACACCCAGCAGTATGTGGAAGTCAGACTTAGTGCGGATTACTACTGTATGTCTGTTGTGAGGTTGGTAGTGTGCTAAACGTGTGTATGTATGTGTGTGTGTGTCCGCAGGTTCCTCAGAGGACCACCTCCATCTCCCCAGCTCTGGTCCGGAAGAACTCTCCTAATGGAGGAGTGGGATCTCGCGGAGGCTCTCAGCTCATACGGACCAGGTACAAAGGCTTTTAGCGGCACTTATCAGGGGAGGCTAAGCTCAAACTTAAAATAAACATTGTGCTTTGTGTTCTTCAGTAACCCAGACCTCCGGCGATCAGAGCTGTCTTTAGATGCCATGTTACAAAGGACCTCCTCCAACTCCTCCTCCTCTTCCTCACCGTCATCTCAGGGAGGCTCCTCCGAGAGAAGAGGTAGGCTCCAGAAAAACACTGCTTCAGTAGAAATACAGAATACTACTACTACTACTACTATTCAATTCAATTCAATTTATTCTTATATATATAGCCCTAAATCACATCAGTCATCTCAAGGGACTTAACAAAACAAATACTAAAAATACTATGATTTGGTTTCATAAAGCGCTTTTGGCAATGTGGGTGAAGAGTCTTGACTAAGGATGGGACTAATGGCAGTCCCATCATAGTACTGATCAGACACTGCCCTGCTTAGCTTCACAGGTCTGATGGGTTCAGGCTCTCACATTCAGGCGGTGCCATACCACCTGCATTACCACAATTTGTACGCATATATTTTAAGTTATTGGCCATATTTGTATACTATTTGTTGAAGAGAATATTTTACTATTTTATGAAAAACACTTATTTGTGAACACCCATCCCGCTGCTATATTGTATACTTATGTAAAATACTTTGAATTGTATAGTCAATGCTGTAAGCTAGGGTGAACAAGCAGGGATTTAGACGAGTGATGTCTTTCTGTTTGGTTTTCCGAATTTCCCAGACACCCACTTTAACACCCTGCTCTCAAACATGATGCATGTGGATGTACTCATGGGGAGACACAGGGTCGGCTCTTGCTTCTCTTCGCTGGTATCGTGGCACAGTGACAGCGCTCGTTCTGCTCTGATCCACATGTCTGGTCCACAGTGATGCAGAGAGATACAGAGGACAGGAAATTAGTGAAGGAGATAGAGAGGCGGGCGCACAGGGAAGTGTCAAACATCAGAGAGACAAGAGATCCCAGATATGCACAGCTCTGCATCTGACAAGACCAGGGACAGGCTGAGGGAGGGAGGGAGTGGTGGGAGGCGGCGGGAGGCGGATAGGATCAAGTGATAGAGCAATAAAAGCATCATGACAGGCACCTCTACAAATCTATATCTACTCAACACAAAGGACAGTAACTGAAATTTCAATGTGAATTGGAAAATAAGTAAATTGTATGGGGGTTAAAAACACTGGTACACTGGATACATTTGTTTTGATTTCATTCAGTTATGTTGAGACGACAGGGTATTGAAATGAGAATTGAGAAAAAAATGCTGCTCCCCTTCAAAGATTAAATGCTTAAAAAACCTATTACTACCTTATATTTTATAATTGTTGTAATTTGTTTGCGTATGACTGGAGGTTGTAATAGTGTCCTATTTGGGCAAGCTATCCACTATCACCACCCCTTCATCCCTTCGTTGGGGTGATCTGCAAATGTTTATAGATATGCTGTTCTATGCTGTTCCAACCAAATGTCTTTGGTTGGAATTTCTTTTTAGTTTTTGACAATATTGAGAATAATAATCAAGCTGGGATGCCTAACCTTAAGTCCATATTAATACATGTCCCAGCATAAAGAGTCTAATACATGTGAAATAGAACCACCTTTTTACATAGTTAAATTGTTTGAGCATTTAAAGTTTAGTTAAGTTAAGGTCACATAAGCGAATGCCTTTCTCCTATAATATACATTAAAATACACTTACTATACAAGCTGAACTTTTGTTTTTCACTCTACCAACAGAACCAGAAGTGTCAATACTGATAGTAATACTTAATGTGCTTTACTCTAGGCCAAAGAAAGCAGGAAGGATCTCCTCCAGGAGCCAATCAGGAAGCCAAGCCGAAGCAGGAGGAGGGCCGGGAGTCGAGTCGACCCAGCAGACCAGCAGTGAGTCTTTTCACACGTCACAAACTCAACAAATGTCTGTTTCTATTCTCTATGTCACATCTGCTGCTCTGTGTCCCCTGTCCTCCAGAGCTATAAGAAAGCCATAGATGAGGTCAGTGACAATCGTTGGAAATGCCTCCCACCAAATCCCCACTTTTTCCTTTTTTCTTTTTTTTTTCTTTTTTAATAATATAAGCTGTCATTTATGTTTTATTTTTTCAATCCCTCAATTATACAATTCTCAACTCTATGAAAGACTACTTCAGAACATAAACAATTCTGTCAATCACTGACTCAATCTATTTTTTTAAAAAGGCATCTCAAAACCATAAAAAATACTCCCTTAAATAAGTATGAAACTTGGATTGCTTGTGACAAAACCAGAAAATAAAGACTGATCTTACAAGCACCGTCCAAACAAAAATCTAAACTTATTTTGAATTGAGGGCGTGTCCCAGTCCATTTTATTAGTCTATTAGTCAATAAAGAAGATGACGTTTATTGGTTCAGAGCATAAGTGACACAACCAGAGTTTTCACAGCGTTCACATGGTTTTATATTCAGGCAAAAACACTGAAGTTCCCATAAGTATCTGCCACATCGCCTATAGATACGTTTGACTCCTTCAGGGAACCAAAAAAATACTTCTGCTGACTCTTGTAATGACCAGCTCAGTTGTAAAATAATTGCACAGAACTCTTATAAATATAGTTTTACCCCAAGTGAACCGAGTCGGTCCAGTAAAAGCAAAGTAATAAGCAAGTAAGTACAATTGTTGTGGACGTTTTCTCTGGGCATCTAGGCATTTATCCTCTTCCTCCTCTGTGATGGAAGCAGGGTCGGTGTACGAGAGTCGCGCACCAAACCTAATGTACGTGATTTTAGTGTTAGAGGAATCCGGAGCGCCCGGAGGAAACACAAGTGCTAACCGTGCTGTGCCACTCAAAGTGAAACTGAACCAGACAAACAAACGTGAATGGGTCCCAAGGCTTAACACAGGACTTTACCAACCGAATCTAAATCAAGCATTGACTGATGGATTAACAGCTACTAAACCATGACTGTACAAATACTCTTGAGAACCAGTCCATCAAATTCCAAAAACTCTATCCTTCGTTTTGAAAGCCGTGCATGGGCGTTTCCATACACTAAATGGGAGAGTGTATGAGAGGGTGTGCTTGTGCATATATCCATATGTTGACATGCATGTGGTGAGTGAAAGATCCAAGCACAAATGCCCAGTCTGAACCTGTTTTCTTCCTATGTTTTTATTGCGGTTTCTTATCAGGAGGAGCTGGTAAGACCCCCGCGTCCCACAACCCTCATTCGTAAACTGCATGACTTGGCCTGCGCACTGGCTATAAACGGGGCGATCGATTACGAGCCAAATAGCATGGCAATGATCCCCAACAGAGACGTTATTATCTCTGCATTTTCCTCCTGATGGCTTGTTTTTGCAATATCAATATTTGAGAATAAAATTGCTGATGTGCCTCTATTGCCAAAGAGTATGCATCAGCACTTTTGTTCTGGTTTGGCTCCAAGGGTTTGTATGATGGCAAAGTGTCCCCTATTTCTGTCCTGTGCTTGGCTATTTAATTAGTATAGTGTTAAATGAAATCATGCAGTGCCATAAATAAAATGTTTTGTTGTTGTTTCTTTGCTTTGTGTAGGATCTCAGTGCACTAGCAAAAGAGCTGCGGGAGTTAAGAGTGGAAGAAGGAACCAGACCACCCGTCAAAGTATGAATTGTTTTTGCATAAATACATTAGTAATGCAAGCAGGACATGTATAAGTGTATATGTATGAAGAAAGGCAATGCACCTTTTCATAATACTTAAAGCTGAGATACTTTACTTTTTGTTGTTGCTTTTTTTGTCCCAACTGAAATTAATTGAAAGGTTGTGGCTAAATTAGACGTCCTCAAGCTGCATTAAACGTATCAATCAATCAATGAATCTTTATCTATAGAGCGCTTTTTATCACACGGAGCATTTCACAGTCCGCATCACACAAAGCACAAATCATCACATAAAAAAAACACCAACATTTTCATTAAAACACAGGTAATTACAACCATTTAAATGTTAAAATCACACAATGGATTAAAATAATGAATAACAATACATAATACATTGCTAAACCCCTCAGTAGTATGTACAGACAATCAGAACCGGCTTTAACCTGGATTTGAACATTGTCAGAGAAGAAGCCTGTCTCACATTTTCAGGAAGACTGTTCTAGATTTTAGCTGCATAAGTCTGAAATGCTGCCTCCCCATGTTTACTTCTGACTCTGGGCACCAGCAAGAGGCTAGTTCCTAGTTGTTATAACATGTTATATTTTGCACAACAATGAGTCATTATTTGAGGCTTTGGGATGGGAGTTGATTGGCTGAGGGACTATAGACGGATTGTATTGTACACAGTTGCTAAACCAACAAAAGACGGTATATAGTAGCACATGTATAACCTCAAACTAAGGGTGCATGCATTCATTATTTCATGCATTCAATTATGTGCGTGTCAACAACAATTAATGAGACGGGCAAACTGGCAAATTGGACGGAAAGTCAAAAAATGTAGTCGGACAAAAACTTTGCTGTGGTCAGGACCTGTTTGTTTGCATTTTTCAATTGAAACCGAAATCTAATCAGTCTGCTAATCCGACTGCCAACAGTTCATTTGACCTCTGCTTCCTGTTTACTGTGAAGGTGACAGACTACTCGTCCTCGAGCGAAGATTCCGAGAGCAGCGACGACGATGGAGAAGCTGTCGGCCATGACGGGACTGTTGCCGTTAGCGACATACCCCGAATCATGTAGGTTTTTCTCTCCCGGACATGCTTCAATCTGGAAATGTCGCTATGCGTTTGTGAGCGGCTCTGGTCCTGTCGGAGTGGAAGTGGCAGAATTACTTTAATAGAGAACAGATATTTTTAGGGCTTTTTTTACTGTTGACCTTTGATTTTTTTTTACCTTTGATTTTGGCTTTTTAATATTATTCAGATGATATTTATATAATCAGAAATATGCTAAAATGTCCCAGTATCAACAAGAACAAGAGTATAAAACCATGCTTGGGAGACTTTGCTGTTTGCTGACTGGTGTTTTTAACAGGGCTTGATTATAGACAATAGTTTCGACATTTATTTTTACACATCTCCCATCTCCGTTCTTAAGTAAAATGTTAAATGTATACTATGCTGATACTCGTTACATCATAACTTCTGAGTGTCACAATCTTAAAAAGTTTTTAATATGAGCCCATAAAGTTGCCCTCAAGAGAAAAAACACATTCTTTACTTTAGGGGCTCTGTGAATTGGCCAGTATTTTGTGTAGGATAGCAGAGGACATGCAGCACTGATTTACTGACTTCTGACTGTCGTTGTCTCTGATTGGCTGTCCAAAACCCTGTCCCCAACGTCACCTATTTTCACTTGACATAAAAAAAGTCTTAATTTGCAACTCCCCTGCTTCCTTATATAAATACAAAGTGAACATGTGAAAAGTGTCTTGGAATGGTGGAGATTGGGCAAATGTGTCGCCTCAACATCAATTCCCCAGTAGATAAAGCCCAGTGTCTTGACGAGGGATTTATTAACAGTATGCTGGGAATAAACGGTTATAACTGAGTGGACAAGAGGCCGCTGTGGCAGTAGTGGATTCGCCTGTGAAACTGCTGCTATGTTCTGCAGGCCGGCTGTGAAGAACAACAGCGAGTCTCGCGGTGGAAAGACAGAGGACGCTCTCGGGGACTCGTACAACAGCTCCAAGGACAGCACCCTGAAGATGAGAGAGGTTAGACACCGACTGTTATTAAGTAACACGTTTCATCGGTCAAATAATTACATTGTCTTTTAATTATTATCTAAAAAAAAAAATACTAAAATATTATTCAAAAATGTCTTATTTTGCTTAGAGTTGTATTGCCACCGCTGTCTGACTGAAACTGAATTCTGGACTATGAACATTGATATCCAACCGGTGTGTTTATGTTGACTCCAATCTCTCATTTCCATTATCCATAGACGGGGGAGAGGAGGAGAGGGTCCCACACAGAGAGTAATGGTTTTGGCAATCACAGTAACCATGGAAACCTCCCTGACCTGGTGCAGCAAAGTAACTCTCCGTCAGCCACGCCCACCAGCGCCCTGCAAGAGCTGGGAGACATGGCTGAGGTCTGCTTCAAACTAATGACAATACGGAAATGATTGCAAAATATAGACTGGTGTATTGTTATATTCACAGCTTTGTCTTTTATGTCGTGTTTTCAGTTCGGTTTGAGCGGGTCCAAATCCTCCTTCACCCCCTTTGTCGACCCTCGTGTCTATCAGACCTCCCCCACTGATGAAGACGGTGACTCGGCTGCTGGTGAGACTTTGTCAACACGAAGATTTGTATAATGTTTTGTATGTCCCACCATGCAACCTTTAAGCCAGAATGATAAACTCAAATAATGCAATTATTACTTTGGTTGCATTTATTTTCTGTCATAAGAGAAATGTACAAAAACATTAATTCTTATTTCGAGCCGGCTCACATCTTCAAAAGCCTGACTCCTTTATTCTTTAGAAAAATTCACTCTGTTCTAGCGTGCGTATGCCGTTAACTTTCTGATTAAAGCCCAACTTTCAAACCACAAAATGGTAACTATGTAATAAAATCATCTCTGTGTGGAGTGAGAGGGTGCTATATAAATAAACATTAATTACTACTAAAAATACACATAATAGCCACATCGCTATTGAAGCCACAGGGTTGAAAAAAGTCTTATAGTCTGTAAATTACAGTAGATTGCCTTAAAAGCTCTCTGCCCTATCTCTTCCTCCCTGAAGTATACTTGACACAATGCTTTGCCCCTCCCTTCTCTCTGTAGCCATGTTTACTAATGAGTTACTGAGGCAAGAACAGGCCAGACTCAATGAAGCCAGGAAGATCTCTGTCGTCAACGTCAACCCGACCAACATCCGACCTCACAGCGACACGCCCGAAATCCGCAAGTACAAGAAGCGCTTCAACTCGGAGATACTGTGTGCGGCCTTATGGGGTACGCTCAAAACATGTTTGTTGTATTTGTAAATCTAATGTCATTTTTGTAACTTGTTATTGGGGCTGTTTCAGGGGTGAACCTGCTCGTCGGGACTGAGAATGGCTTGATGCTGCTTGATCGGAGCGGACAAGGAAAAGTATATAATTTAATCACGAGGAGGCGTTTTCTTCAAATGGACGTGTTGGAAGGTCTCAATGTCCTTGTCACTATATCAGGCAAGTCTGGAAGCACCAAAACTACATCCTAAACTTATCCAAAGAGTGTGATACCTCTCGATTAAAGATACTAGATTTATTGATTGGTTTCTGACTAGTATAATTGCATTGTCAGTGGACAGTATCTTTTGACATATTCTCCACAATAGGTTGCTTTTATGTTGTAGAACTATATGAGAGAGAAGACATTTTAAAAAGATATTCCCAAAGGTTTTTTCAGATTATTATGGATTATCTGTAGAGTCACAAACCCATCATATTGTTCTTGCATTTTGTATATTGTCACCACTTTTAGACAACTTTTAGGCCCAGGAATTACAGAGAAATGAGCTAGAATTGTTTTGTTATTGTTATTATTTTGCAGCTGCCCTACACCACAATGTTAAACTAAAGGCTCCTTGGAGTGTTGTGATGTCACATAAGGGAAACCTGTATCTTTAAAAATGTGTTGCATACGTTAATTGAAGATTTGATGTCTATTTTCAGGGAAAAAGAACAAGTTGCGTGTATACTATTTATCCTGGCTGAGAAACAGAATATTACACAATGATCCAGAGGTGGAGAAGAAGCAGGGGTGGGTCACTGTCGGAGAGCTGGAGGGCTGCGTGCATTATAAAGTTGGTAAGCGCCATAAAATCTTGTTAATAACACTTAATCACATGTTTCTCATTCACACAATCAATGATATGGGTGAATCCTGATGTCTATGTGTTCAAATTCAAAACTGCTCAGAATGGACAATTATTTATATGTATTTGTTTTTATTATTCAGCCAATAATGTTTTAAATTTAAAAAATCTCACCTTGTCCCATTGATCATAAATCAATAGGACAAGAGTACAATTATTTGAAATGTAATTGTAATTGTAATATGTGATGTATTGTCATGTCCACTAGTGAAATGAATAAATAAACAAAAATCAATGAGTCAATAAATAACTATTTTTTGATTTATTGATTTTTTGAGGAGGAGCTTTAGAGGCTCTGTACCTTTCTGCAATTTCACCAGTTAATAAAGGATTTTGTGTTCTGAAGTTATGCTGAAGTTTTGTAAGAAAATGTTGCTGCTAATTTTAAATCTTCATTCATTCTTTCACCAAACCAGTAAAATATGAAAGAATCAAGTTCCTGGTTATTGCTTTGAAAAACTCTGTGGAAATTTACGCCTGGGCTCCCAAACCATACCACAAGTTTATGGCCTTTAAGGTATGCAGTTTTCTTCTCTCTTTATGAATTTGAGCAGACAAAATATGCTAAACTTGCCTCTTTGGAATCCACGTGTAGTCCTTTGCCGAGCTGCAGCACCGCCCCCTGCTGGTGGACCTCACGGTGGAGGAGGGTCAGCGGTTAAAAGTCATCTATGGTTCTACAGTTGGTTTCCATGTGATCGATGTGGACTCGGGAAACCCCTACGACATTTACATCCCCTCACATGTAAGTGCAGGACGCGGAGTATAAATGATCCATTGATTTGCCGTAGATCTGACGACTCATATGAACGCCGCGATACACAAAGTCATTCTTAACAAGCTGTGGTGCAAAACAATCAATACACATCTATCTTTGAAGCTCTTTTGACTAGATCGTTACATTACCATTAGTGCTGTCAATAGGGCTGCAAAGCGGAAGTGCCATACAAACAAAAACACATGGTTTGGAGTGGGAGTCAGCAGCGTGTTGACAGATTCAGGATTCTAAAGGACGACAGCTCATGAAATCAGCATTGTTGAATTTACAAAATAGCGGTGAAGCGTTAACACATTAACACATGAATCACTGATTGGAGAATTGAGGTGTTGTTGAGGTGCATTTACTTTTTGTCTTCATCTTTTGTACTTAAGACTTGACTTTTTAGGTCTACCTTGTTAGTCCCATTGCCTAAAATAATTGAAAAAAGGATAATAATTAAAGCAATCACTGAAATTTCACCGCTATATAAACTTCTAGAACAACGGTTAGATGTTTCAAATGAATTAAATTCAATTCAATACATGTTTATATAGGCCTATATCACAACTGCAGTTATCTCAGAGGACTTCACAAAGTTTATCCATTTGTCAACACCGATCAGAGAAGGAAATCAATCAATCAATCAAATTTTTATTTGCATAGCGCCTAACAACAGCCAGAAGGTGCCCAGGGCGCTTTCCAGGATAAAAACAAGAATCACAATAGACACCGATAAAAACAAACACATAAAAAAGAACAGCAGTCGAGTCAGTGATTATGCATTGAATGCTTTCCAGAAAAGATGTGTCTTCAACTTCAAATGCAACAATAAAAGACACATAGGGCCATTGGTCAACATGTATAAGGGGCGGCTAACCAATGCCCATAAATGAGGTACTTTTTTTTGTTTTTTTTTTAAATAAAACAAAATCGATTTTTAAAGAAAACCGTCAATTATATGTAACCACTATAATATTGCCATCAAAGCCCCTATTTTCCATAACTTCGTAAAATATGATAATGTGTGATAATAATTTTTGTAGTAAAAGTCAATCATTAATTTCTCGGTTAACCAATACTGCTATAGCCCTAAGAAGCTCAAATCTGTGGATATGGCGTTGACACGTGATGTGTTCGAGTGAAGAACCGACCCTAATTTGTTGTTTGAGTTCAATTTTGTTGACTTATCATTTTATCTCAATTACAAAAAAATCTGTGAGATCTCTAAAACAGAATAATTTCTGGAACAATATGGGCAAAGATTTTGATATGTACTTTTATACTCAAGCGATTCAGATACAGTATGTAATCATACTTAGAGCGTTTGTCCCGCCTCCTTTTTAATCTACAACTCATTTGACAGAGTTTGAGTTTAGTTTCAGGTAAAGCCTCAAAACAGCAATTTTTATGACATAGTTTGGGACACTTTTGTTGCTTCAGTAATTACACTTGCTGGTATTTCTATGTTTGTTGAATGTTCTTTTCTTGCATCTTGAATACATGTGTTATTGTACATATTGCATGTGTGTTCAGTTTCTCCTCCTTAACTCGCTGCAGATAAGAACTTTCCTTATCTGACATTTTGTGGTTGCTCTAAGTTCAGCTCACTCAACTGTCTTCACATGGGACCACACTGACAAGTTTATGTTTAGGTTATTTTGCAAAACAGACAAAAACATATTTGATTATTTACTACTTTCAAAGCTTGATAAATGTCATTCAAACAAAAAATTAAAAAAACTGCTTGTAAAAGACAATTGTGACGAATGCACCGGGTCAGTATCAGAACCACAGCAATTCAAATGCATTAAAATAATATATCTCTTATTATGAATTGTTGTTTTTGTAAATACTGTATATTTGAGTACTGAACTCCCAAAGGTCTTCGATACTTAAAGGAGACATTATGTGATATAAAAAAAAAAAACTTTTTCTCTTTTTTAACCATTTTTCAACATTGTTCCTGCATAAAAAAACAGACCTGGAGTTGTTTTTAGATCTATCCATACTGATATCAAGAACTTCTGGAACAAACATGTAACTTTGTCTTTTCAGTCTAAAAGCTCAGTCCTGTAATAGAATGATATCATTTTAAAAAAAAATTCTGCCTATAAAGACAATATATCCCCCATAAATAGTTTTGACAACATCTCCAGTGAAAAAATGTAGTGTTTGGTCATTTTAATATTTTGACATTTCGACCCCTCCCTCTGGTGGTTACATAAGGATAGTGCAGGCCAATAGCATTGTTAACCCTTGATGATAGTTGTTTCACCATATATTTTCTACTGAAGATAAATGAAGTATCATGAATCAGATGAATACAAAAATAATTCTGTTACAGCACAGTTGAAGTTCATAAAAAATGACAAGCTGAATATATATATATATGAAATAAATAAACAGTAAAATACCATTTCGTTTAATATGTGACAGACAATAAATATGTTTACGTCTTTTAAAGGACCATTAGCAATACCCTCTGACATGTTCTAACCTCCACTATATGAGAATCCACAATGAAGACATAACCCGACTTACTAAATTCACCCGCCAGTGTCCGTAATGGTGCGAATGATCAAAGTAATGGACTCAGAGAGGCTGTTGAACCACATGCAGTCCAGTCCAGCAGTAAGATTTATAATTTATGAGGGCAAAACGCTTGTCTCTTTGTACTTTTCATATGAACCTGCTCTTTCTGCTCCCTCCCTCTCATCCTCCCGCACAGTGTGGCCCGCAAATGAAGGTGACATCCTGACATCGACCCTTTAGACTAGATCAATATTAGCGCTGTAGTGGAACCCCTTAGTGAATACATAGCAGTGCCATAAGTGTCTTTTTGTGCAGTGCAGTTCATTAACTCTTAACACTGAAATCATGTGAGTGAATTCATTTTACCCAGACGTACTGTATGTAGAGAAATGTGAAATATATCACACATAGTGGCAGTTTGTCATTTGTAACCCATTTCCAATGACTGAAGAGTAACAATATATAAGATGGATTCACTTTCTCTGAATGGGTAAGATGAGTTTTTCATGTGTTAATTTTGAAAAGCTTTTGTGTTGGTGTTATAAACCTTTTTCTGGGACCAACCCCAGGTCGACGTAACCAGCCCAATATGCAGTGCTATGCAAATATGCCACGATTTGAGTTGATTTCTTTAGATATTACGATAGTTTTTTCATCCGTCGTCCCACACTCGCTCTCACAAACACACACTCATTCACTCTGAACTATTGTACATCATTTTAGTAGTAATGGGAAACCGGAGTAGCCGGAGGAAACCTTCGCAGACACAGGGAGAACATGCAAACTCCACAGCAGATTTTCTAACCACTAACCACTGCGCCACTGTGCCGCCAATAAAACAATATGTCATTATTATTGTACTGTTGGTCTATTTTCTGACTAAAAAAGTACTTTCTGGGGCTTCTACTGAATGAAACATTAACTTTATTAAAGAAGAGATGATTTTGTTTGGTTTCAAGCACCGTAATTTAGCTATTTCTCATTGTTTCATAACATATTTGCATAGCACCTGTATGTCCTCTATAGTAACCTTATGCCGTGTTCAGACCGATCGCGATGGAGGCGAAAAAATCGCATCAAACGCCAGGCGTTTTTTGCTTGAATATTTGATGACACTCGCTTCTATCGCGGCGATTACTCGCTCTGTTCGCCTGCGGATTTTCGTCGAGATTTCGCCTCGCCGCGTCATCCAATAGGAGGAGCTTATGGCCAGTTGCCGGTTCCGGTTGTTGTTCAACTCAGCATGGCGGGCTTTGATTTTCTGGAACGAGTCACTATACTTTATTTAATGTGGAAAGCCGAACAGCGGCGGCAGCGACGCCGTCTCTGGGTCCACGATATCCTCCAGAGACGCTCCCAATATGGGGAGTACCACCATCTGCTCCAGGAGCTGCGCCTGGATGACGGTCGATTCCAGCGGTATTTCCGTGTGTCCAGGACCCAGTTTGAGGACCTGCTGTCCCGCGTTGGGGCTCGGATCACCGTCCGGGAGACCAACTACAGGCGCTCTATCTCCCCTGCAGAGCGCCTGTCCATCTGTCTTCGGTTAGTAAATCAAGCGGTTCCATGTTGAATGAAAAGATGCTTCGTCTCCGCCGCGGTTCAATGCTACGTCACTGCTCGATTCAGTCCCTGATTGGTCAACGCCCCGCGAATTGACCAAAAAGTTCAGATTTTTCAACTCGAGCGAGTAGGGCGGTGGAGGCGAAATGGCTCTAGGCGCGCGTCAAACGCCCCTTTCGCCACTTTCGTTCCGCTCTTTTCGTTCAAAACGCCCTGTTCGCCTCGCTCTACTCTCGTCATTCGCACCGCCGGCCTGTCATTCGCTCCTGAGCGCACCCGGCCATAGACATAACATGTAAATCACTCGCCCCTGACTCCTCCATCGCGATCGGTCTGAACACGGCATAAATCCCTCCAAATAATAACATTAAACCATTCCCTTGTTTATTGACTGTCCCCTCTGTGGTGTTTCTAATCTTCCTCTGTTGTTAATAATCTCAGATGAATTCTCTAAAATGGTTTCTTCTTGTGAATTTGTGTCAGATCCAAAACCAGGTGATGCCCCATGCCATCGTGGTGCTCCCCAAAACCGACGGGATGGAGATGCTGCTCTGCTACGAGGACGAAGGGGTCTACGTGAACACCTACGGGAGGATCACCAAGGATGTGGTGCTGCAGTGGGGAGAGATGCCTACCTCTGTTGGTAAGAAGAGAAAGTATTTAAGTCGTTTAATATGGAGACAATTTAAGCTGGGGTACTTAACTTTCAAGTCACTCTCATTATTGACGTTTAGATATAATTGCTTTCCACATTCATACCTTTTTTGTTGTCTCCTTTTTCAGGCAGAAAAGTGAAAAAAGGGAATCATTCAGATCCTTAAACATTTTTTTTATTTTTCAATTAGGATAAAGCCACCATACTGTGTCCTAATGTGTTATAAAAATGTATTAATTGTGTATAACAAAACAGTTAGGTCCCCCAGCTTTAAAGAGACACAAACCAATAAGATTTATTTGAGCGGGTACTTGTTGGTGCCATGATTATAGTGGAGAAAAGTTATAATAACACGGAGGACATACATGAATGTGCTTCAAAAGTGGTGAACTGTTATTAGTTGCCAGAGTCTGACAGATAAAAACAAGTTTGAAATTGCATTTATGCCAAATGCAAACACATTTCCCCTTGTGAACCACAATGTCTTGTATATATCTGCCCTCTAGTGGTTAGCAATAGAATTATAATACATTCACGACTTGAAATATGCAACTTCTTATGTTTTTATATTTTCTCATGTCTACTACAATGAATGAAAGTACGTTCTGCCTTTCTCTCTGCAGCCTACATTCACTCAAACCAGATCATGGGCTGGGGTGAAAAAGCCATAGAGATCCGCTCGGTGGAGACGGGACATTTGGACGGAGTCTTCATGCACAAGAGAGCTCAGAGACTCAAGTTCCTCTGTGAACGGAACGACAAGGTACCGATATCTCAGACTGTAAACATGGCTGTCATGCTGTTGTTACACTGCACGGCTTTAAAAATGATTACGGCATTATTTTTTGCCCCTATGTACGGAAGCTTGTTAGGTTCACTTGTGAGTGTTTTTTTTTTCCGCTGGTATCATGTTATTTCATGATACACAACTATCATGTTATTTCATGATACACAACTATCATGTTATTTCATGATACACAACTATCATGTTATTTCATGATACACAACTATCATGTTATTTCTAGGGCTGTCAAAATTATCGCGTTAACGCACGTTAATAAATTTTTTTCATTAATCGCGTTAAAAAAATTAACGCATTTGACGCATGCCCATGCGTCCCATAATGACACTCACAATGCCGCGGACACATGCGCGTGTGTAAGATGGGGACAGAGCAGGTAGGCCCTCTGGGAATTCAAGTTTTGAAAGAATACACGCGTGACCGCGGGGCACTTGTTGTTTCCTGTATGAACTCTGCATGATGAGCTGCGGGCGCCACAGCGCTCTGGACAGGTCCCACTTCCAGCGGCTGTGATCACGGCGAACGGCGCTGCGTAATGGGATCATATCCAAGACCACGCACAGAACTATTACAGAACTATTCTCTAGTGTGCGTCCGTGTCTTTGCGTAACCGATGCACACAATATGTACAGCGCTGAAGCTGGACTGCGGAGTGTCTCCTCCGTGTCTTCTCCCTAAGCGCACTCGCTAAATTAAAGCTGAGGTACCTAATTTTCCTTTCGACCATCAGTTCATGTTTAGTTGTGCCAAAAAAAGTAATGGTGTGAGCAAATCAAACAGATTTAATGACATTCTGCTTCAGACTATTTTGAAATGTCCCTCATCTGTAACAAACAATGGTTTTGGTTTTAGTCTAAACAGAAAGACAAAATGTTAATAATGTTAATTCCATTTTATATGGATTTATTGTTAATACAAACAAATATAGTACATATGTTCACTAAGCTGTCATTTATCTTTCCATTCAAACAACAATTTACAGAAAAATATGGCATAATTTTGCCAATAGTTTGAAATGTGATTAATTACGATTAATTAATTTTTAAGCTGTAATTAACTCGATTAAAAAAATTAATCGTTTGACAGCCCTAGTTATTTCATGATACACAACTATCATGTTATTTCATGATGCACAACTATCATGTTATTTCATGATACACAACTATCATGTTATTTCATGATACACAACTATCATGTTATTTCATGATGCACAACTATCATGTTATTTCATGATACACAACTATCATGTTATTTCATGATACCAGTTTATCATGAAATAACATGATACTGTAGAAACAGAAGAAGAAGAAGCTGTCAGCTTCTGATAAATTGGTATCATGAAATAACATGATAGTTGTGTATCATGAAATAACATGATAGTTGTGCATCATGAAATAACATGATAGTTGTGTATCATGAAATAACATGATAGTTGTGTATCATGAAATAACATGATAGTTGTGTATCATGAAATAACATGATAGTTGTGCATCATGAAATAACATGATAGTTGTGTATCATGAAATAACATGATAGTTGTGTATCATGAAATAACATGATAGTTGTGCATCATGAAATAACATGATAGTTGTGTATCATGAAATAACATGATAGTTGTGCATCATGAAATAACATGATAGTTGTGTATCATGAAATAACATGATAGTTGAGTATCATGAAATAACATGATAGTTGTGCATCATGAAATAACATGATAGTTGTGTATCATGAAATAACATGATAGTTGAGTATCATGAAATAACATGATAGTTGTGCATCATGAAATAACATGATATTTATCATGTTATTTCATGAAAGTATCATGAAATAACATGATACCAGCGAGAAAAAAAAAACACTCACAAGTGAACCTAACAAGCTTCCGTACCTATAAGACGTACTTACTTTCATTTTGTTTTACTATGTGAAATAATATCTTAGACAATTTATGATTAAACACCTTTTGCCTTTTTCAGACAGAAATGATAATAGGCAAGTTAATTTCATCACGTGCTGCCTCTTAAACTATCTGACCTGGGCGAGATTGCACCAACAATAAAACACAAATAAAACTTAATAAAACAACATAATTCATCAGCCTTTTAATAATTACATATATGTTCATATTTTGCATCACATATTCTTTGATCTTGTTACTGACATTAACTGGCAACAAGATTGGTTCTAAAACTTTTCACAGACACTAAAATAATTAGCGACTGTTAAAGAACTATATATATTTAGGATTTCCCTACTCTATGGCAGTTCTATATAAGGGTTAATACAAATGTGGAAGAAAATGATTGAAAATGCAAAGATTACATTATTAGACCCAGGCCCTGGTTCCATGATGCGTATACTGTAGTTTGTTTATGCCATGCACCAGGGCTGTATCTGACTTTTCTCATTTCTAGTGCGTAAAAACACCAACAAAAATATAATTTTTCCACAACTTTGTGCGAAACTTGTATCTTTAATATCTGTAATGTTTCTCTTTTATTCATACGCAGGTTTTCTTCGCCTCGGTGCGCTCCGGTGGTAGCAGCCAAGTCTTCTTCATGACCCTCAACAGAAGCTCCATGATGAACTGGTGAAAACTTTAACTCATTCCAATCCATCAGCCCAGCAGCGCACCTCGGGAAACACCCCACCTGGATGATTCCCACAAGGCCAAGCATAGACTCTGAGAACAGAACAAAAAGAAAACAACCTTACTTCAAAAACTCTATAGGTATGCTAACCCGGGAGAAGCCATTTTACAGAACTGACTCAAGCGTTGCCATTGTCTTTACAAATCTCCCATGTTTTATCTGCACTTAACTGTTCAGAAATTGTAAATCCACTCATTAGATTCTTGATTGTCAAACTTTGCACCTGCCTCTCTGGATTGAACCATTGCAGTTTTCAAGCCCGTGTGCTCAACTCAACTTTACCTCTGGGGCTGAATCAATTGTCGTGTCAGGAAAAAGAAGAAAGGGTTATGGTTGCATTTGTACCCCCGGTTTTTTCCGATCCTTCCACGCCATCGCTGTTTTTTTAGGCTCTACGTAACCGTGGATACAGCTTCTAGTGATGCAAATGGGACTGAGGAAGTATGCAAGATAATTTTTTTTTTTTTTTTTTTTTTTAGAAACGTCTTTAATCACTAACTCCTCTATCACCACGACTTGTTTTCCTTCACTTTCGTAACTCTCAAAAGGTGCTGCATCAGATTTACTGTAATCTTCATGGAGAGGTGTCTGTTTGGTACCACTTTTTAATTTTTACCAGTCTTCGATGCTTGACAAATTGTATAGCACATGCGTGTCGGTCATATGTGTCTGTGTATGCAAGTGTGTGTGTGCGTAGCTATGCGCCATCCGGCTTGAGACTTAGTCAAGCCGGAGTCGGAGTGCAAACCTGCGGGGGGAGGGAAATAAAAGTGTTTGGATATTTTTAGGGTGAAAATGAATGAAACTTGTGGAAAAGTCCAATCAGAAATGTTTTTATTTGAATTATTTTGGTACGTATTCTTGCAGGAGACAAAAGTAAGGATATTTTGATGTAGAGAATACATAGATTAAGCTGTGTTTCTGGCCCTGGACTTGAAGAGAGAGAAACAAAAATCTCTGGTTCCGTTGTAAATTTTTTTATTTTCTTCACATGAAATGAAATGACTCTTTTATGATAGTGAAAAATAAAAACTGATCATTTGTAATTTCAGCTCTGCACACAGCTTTATACAGTGGAGCACATCTGAGCTTCACATCCGCATTCACACACACAAAAAACTCATATTTTTGTCCTTGGTCGAGCCGTGGTCTGTACAGGATTAAAAACCATGACAAAATTGTATTTATTTTCAGATTTAGAATTAGCAACAACTCACAAACTCATATTGCACAGTAGATTTAAAAAATAGACAAAAGTAACACGGCCAAATTAGGGCCCTGCAGCGTGACTATCAGAAGAAGTTATTAATTCAAACATCTTAAAGTGTTTATGACAGGTTATATTTTATCCTTTTGTCTTATCATGATGGAATGACAAAGTACAGTTTTACACCAATAAAGTCAAAGTGTGTGAAGAAAAATGGAAAGCGATAATATGTTCAAGTTTACATGAAGTAGAGCAGAGTTGTAGAACAGATGGCATCATGATGGGGATGGATTGAACTCTTTCTCAAATTTGGCCCATTTTCCAATTAAAAAAATGTCATCACGCAACCAAATAACATTTATTCGTTAAATATGGTTTATGTTTCTAAAAATGTGGCTCAGTTTGTTACTTGGATGCTTGGATCCCCGGTGCGAGGCCATCAATCACAACCAGGAAGTGAAATGATAAATCTAAGAATATGGCCAACCTGGCATACAATTCGTATAATGATAATAAGTTATGTAATGGTCATAACTGAAAAAGTCTAACCTGTCGTAGACTCTTTAAGCACTATTATTATTGTTATTAGCCTAAACATTTAAGGGAGTTTGGACCAAATCTATGGATGGAAAAATTGTTGTTGTCTGATAATTGTTGATTATCAAATATATACTATAATAAACAGTACAACTTTCATGCCCTGCACCAAAGGGTTTATAGCTCCACCTAGCGGCCAAAGTCATGTATTTTCTGATCGAACAGACAACACTGAAATGGCACATCATTTTGACTTTTTATTTAGAACACTCCTTTTATACAAATATTCAACTTCTGTTTGATTAATCAGTGTGACCAAAGGAAATAAAAGAATTGTTTAGTCTTCATTATTGGAAAAAAAAGTCGCAAGAAGGTTTTCATTTCCATGCATCTGGAATTTACATTTTCGATTCTATTTCTATTTCTATTTCTTGGGGGAAGAATCTCTGTAAAATTGCACACTGATGCACACCGGACTACTTTATAGTTGCGTGTATACATATATAAGTTTATTGTTTGTAACTTTTTTTAAATATATATATATATAATTTCATAATGAGATCCACAGAGTAGTTGCTTTGAGGCCGTCGTCCAGATTCTATGATGCGGATTAAAAGAACCACCTGTCATTTTAGCAATAATAATAATACTACATGAATCTAAAATGAGCTTCAAACCACTGTCTTCCTGATCAGTGTGTGCACATTCATCGCACATTGTTTGAGTTTGAATGGGGCATTATGTCATTACACTGAAAATTCTCCACTGTTTTTTTCTTAATTTCAAAAGAGCATTACTACTAATGTCCTGTTTTGGGGATTTTTGTTTGTTTTGTAAAAGATAAGATGTTATGAGAAAAATAAAAGTAGAGATTTAAACTGTTTTGTTATTGTGATGCGTTGTTTTCTTGTGTTTGGACCAGCATTATCGACCGACCCTCAGACTTTGTCCATGCTGTGGTCAATCATCAGCCAGGCCTGATAATAATGTTGTTGCAAGAAATATGTGAAAGAGAAAAAAAAAAGTGAAATTTAAATCAAAAGCTTGCGTTTTTCATACTGTACACTCTCACTTTTGCATGCAGATATTTGGACATAATTAATTAAAGGGGAAATAGATTTGCTGCAGGAGCCAATTCACCACTTTCCCTCACCTAGAAATAATACAAAATCTTGTCTGATATACTGAATAGTTTTACGTTTGCGTTACTATAGGCCGGTTTTGCGTTGCCTTTTACATGTTGGCTTTGCGTGCTCGGTCCAGATTAATGAGTGGACACAGAGTCGGGGCTAAAAGTCCATTGATCATTAGCTCCTCTCTTGGCTGACGAGGACCTGTGCCAAACATGGAGAATGGAAAGGTAAGCCCCCTTTAGACAAGCTTTATTCGCTCAAATGTTACACTTTTCTATTTGATTGGCTCCAAATGCACTAAAAGGAAGCAACAGTATGCAAAATCTAGCATGTATAACTATGAGGTAGATTATGAAATGTATCAGCAGTAGTCTAGCACTAGCATTGGATTGGTCTGCACTGCTATCATATGTAAAAGTCACAAAACATGATCATAATGCATGACTCCTGCATATTCTTCTACAAATGCATGGCCTATTATTGTGTATTGGTGTTATGTTTTAGTGAATAGCAAATAATTCGACAATACTCTACCAACTTTAAAAACAAAGGAAATGTAAAGTTGAATGTGCATTAGCTTTGACTTTGTGTAAATACAGTACATACTGTATACATCCCCATCCCATTCAAATGTTGTAAAAAGCCACTGTCATATTAAATGTGCTGGCCCGGAGTGAAAATCAAAGTTTATAGACGTACATTATTCCTCCATTATTGTTTTATTGTTGAAGATAAAGATCACCCTTATCTGCCTTACCAAAACACTTTCACATCTGCAGATGTGTGCACAGGAGACAGATGTACGGAGCATGGACAGCTATAATGTCCAGCTCTACTAAAGATGGAACATCTGTGATGCATAGCAGTGCTTCAAATTATAACTTTCTACAGGAATTTTTGACAATTTTGTTTAAATTGAATTCTAATAAATGAGAGATTGTTTTGTTGAACAGCAACTAACAGGGACATTAGCCCTGGCTGTGTTCACGGCAGTGCTGGGGTCACTGCAGTATGGATACAGTCTGGGAGTGATCAACGCGCCGCAGAAGGTACTTCACATGCTCTATTCATGTTACTGAACTATACTATATACTATGTATATGTACACACCTATAACACCTAGAAAATACTACTCAGATCTGAACTGGCTGTCTATATCTTAGTATGTACACTATACAATGTTTTCTAATGAGCTGATTGGCTGAGTGAGGGCTGGGACTCCTGTGGTTCCAAACACTTCCAAAAGCTCGGAACTGTCCATCCATCCATCCATCCATCCATTTTCTTCCGCTTTATCCGTTGCCGGGTCGCGGGGGCAGCAGTCTAAGCAGAGACGCCCAGACTTCCCTATCCACACACACCTCCTCCAGCTCGTCCGGGGGGACCCCAAGGCGTTCCCAGGCCAGCTGAGAGACATAGTCCCTCCAGCGTGTCCTAGGTCTTCCCCGGGGCCTCCTCCCGGTGGGACGTGCCCGGAGCACCGCCCCAGGGAGGCGTCCAGGAGGTATCCGGAACTTGAACTCCTCCACTTGAGGAAGGACCTCTCCACCCACCTGTAGAGGGCAAGGCACCTTTTTCCGGTTGAGCACCATGGCCTCGGATTTGGAGGTGCTGATTCTCATCCCAGCCGCTTCACACTCGGCTGCAAACCACCCCAGTGCACGTTGCAGGTCCTGGTTCGTTGGAGCCAACAGGACAACATTGTCTGCAAACAGCAGAGATGAAATCCTGTGGTCTCCGAACCGGACCCCCTCCGACCTCTGACTGCGCCTAGAAATTCTGTCCATAAACACAGTGAACAGAACCGGTGACAAAGGGCAGCCCTGTCGGAGCCCAACATTCACCGGGAACAGGTCTGACTTACTGCCGGCAATGGGAACACAGCTCTGGCTCCGGTCATACAGGGATCGGATGGCCCTCAGCAGAGGACCTCCGACCCCGTACTCCCGGAGAACCCCCCAAAGGACACCCCGGGGAACACAGTCGAACGCCTTCTCCAAATCCACAAAGCACATGTGGACAGGTTGGGCGAACTCCCATGAACCCTCGAGTATCCGATGGAGAGTATAGAGCTGGTCCAGTGTTCCGCGACCGGGACGAAAACCACACTGCTCCTCCTGAATCCGAGATTCGACCATCGGCCGTAGCCTCCTCTCCAGTACCTTGGAGTAGACCTTACCGGGGAGGCTGAGGAGTGTGATCCCACGATAATTGGAACACACCCTCCGATTCCCCTTCTTGTAGAGAGGGACCACCCCAGTGGCAGACCACCCCGGTCTGCCACTCCATTGGCACCGCCCCCGATCGCCACGCGATGTTGCAGAGACGTGTCAGCCAAGACAGTCCTACAACATCCAGAGACTGGTGGCATGGTTGGGAGCCTCCATGGTGGCAAGGCTCCCAACCACATTGGTGACCTCAGCCAGGGAGATGGATGTATCCGCCCCAACATCCTCAGCCTCTGTAATGGAGGACGTGACGGGGGGATTGAGGAGAACCTCAAAGTATTCCTTCCACCGCCCGACAATATCCCCAGTTGAGGTCAGCAGCTCTCCACCCGCACCGTACATGGTGTTGGCAAAGAACTGCTTCCCCCTCCTGAGGCGCCGGATGGTTTGCCAGAATCTCTTTGAGGCCGACCGATAGTCATGCTCCATGGACTCTCCGAACTCTTCCCAGTCCGCGGCACGCTTGGCCTGCCGGTACTGGACAGCTGCCTCAGGAGTCCCCCGAACCATCATGGCTCGATAGGACTCCTTCTTCAGCCTGACAGCATCCCTTACTGCCGGTGTCCACCACCGGGTTCGGAGGTTGCCGCCGGGACCAGCACCAGAGACCTTGCGACCACAGCTACGAGCCGCCGCATCGGCGATTGAGGCAGAGAACATGGTCCACTCGGACTCCATGTCCCCCTCCTCCGCCGGGACCTGGGAGAAGCTCTCCCGGAGGTGCGAGTTGAAAGACCGTCTGACAGGGGGCTCAGTGAGACGTTCCCAGCAGACCCTCACTATACGCCAGGTCTGACCGGCTTCTTGCCCTGCCAGCGGATCCAACTCACGACCAGGTGATGATCGGTTGACAGCTCCGCCCCTCTCTTTACCCGAGTGTCCGAGACACGCGGTCGAAGGTCAGATGACCTACGACGACAGATGACCTACGACAACAAAGTCGATCATCGACCTCCCGCCTAGGGTGTCCTGGTGCCACGTGCACTGGTGGACACCCTTGTGCTCGAACATGGTGTTCGTGATGGACAAACTGTGACTGGCACAGAAGTCCAACAACTGAACACCGCTCGGTTTCAGATCAGGGGGGCCGTTCTTCCCGATCTCCCCTCTCCAAGTGTCACTGGCGTTTCCCACATGGGCGTTGAAGTCCCCCAGGAGAATAACAGAGTCCCCGGGCGGTGCACCGTCCAGTACCCCTCCCAAGGACTCCAAGAAGGCCGGGTACTCTGCACTGCTGTTAGGCCCGTAGGCCGTCACAACAATGAGAGACTTGTCCCCCACCCGGAGGCAGAGGGACGCGACCCTCTCATTCACCGGGGAGAACTCCAACACGTGGCGGCTGAGATGGGGGGCAATGAGAATGGCCACCCCAGCTCGCCGCCTCTCCCCGCGGGAAGCACCAGAAAAGTGGAGCGTCCAACCCCTCTCAAGGAGTTGGGTTCCAGAGCCCAAGCTGTGTGTGGAGGTGAGGCCGACTATCTCTAGTCGGTATCGCTCAACCTCCCCCACGAGCTCGGGCTCCTTCCCCCCCAGTGAGGTGACGTTCCACGTCCCAAGAGCCAGAAAAGGGTTTTGTACTGCAGCTTTAAAATTGTATCACATTTTAAACAAATGTGTGGTGCTATTTTTTGTTTGTGAATTTTATGCAAAAGGGACAAAACCAGTTGAATTTCACGCACCAACCGGCAACCCAAATGAGGGACTCATTTTACTCTCTGATTGGATAATCTACTCAGAAAAAAATAATATAATAATTATGTCTATTTTACTTTTATTTAAAAATAAATCCACTTGCTCAGAAAAGGTCATATACGGTGTGAGTACCTTTGTTGACTAATTATCCGGGGACACAGAAAACCTCAGTTATACACCTGGTGATCTATAGCGCAAAGAGGAATGGTCTCCCCACACATGAATAAGTCCTTGAACATCACACAAGCTTTTGTGGCCCTACCTGCATGTGAGAGCCAGATCCCTCTGAGGCTGTGCAGGGCAGGGCCTGGTTAGTGCTGTGATGGGAGACCACAATGGGCCGGCTGTGGCTGTAAAGCGCCAAACTGTCATTGTTTATTTATTTATTTATTTATTTAAGTAGGGACAGTACATATTAATGAACATATAAAATATGTAAATATGTCAGATTTTAGCCATAGGCTAATTTCCATCTGTTGTCCCTAGACAGGCTGATGTGAAACTTCACATTGAACATTTAACAATGACACAAAAGAAAGTCACAAGACAGTACAGGAACAGAACGACTGCAGGACAAGGAACAATGGGACCACAAGATACACATTCAAATATACTGTACAAAGAACATTAGGGATCTCAGGCAAATACAATGACAAAAGACTGGACACGACAGAAGACAGGGAGGACAGGGAAGGGTGATGCAGAAAATGGGAGCGAAGGCGGTTCACTTCCACAAACCCAGGGGAAGACTTAATTCATTAATTGCTACGGATTTATAAAAATCTAAAATTTCATTACGTTTTTTTTTTTTTTGTTTTTTTTTTTTTCTCTTTAAAATACCTATCTAAAATGCTGTGGTGCCCTAAGAAGTGTTCATTGACACTTCATCCACATAGTCTAGGAATGGTCTGGTGTGTGAGGGAATGCTTGGTGGTGGTCAGTGGCTACAGTGTTTATCTCTACCGTGTAAAGTGAAATAAAATAACAACATGTAAAGCGTCTTTGAATGTTCAAAAAAGCGCCACATAAAACTGATGCATTATTACTCAGAGATGATACAATAGGAACCCTTTTGTGACAGGTGATCGAGCGGCATTATGGGAGGTCTCTGGGATTGTGGTCGGACAGGGCGGTCCCAGCGTCGGAGAACCACACTGAAGAGGACCAGGTGGAGCTGGAGGCCGGACAGCACCCAGCGGTCACCATGTACTGGTCCCTGTCTGTGGCCATCTTCTCTGTCGGAGGAATGCTCTCGTCCTTTCTCGTGGGCTTTGTGGGAGACCTGAGAGGAAGGTGGAAAATCAAACTTGTTTTGAGTTTCAGGATGACTGACAATTCAAAACAAAAAACACTATTTTCTCAATGAAAGAAGGGTTTGAAACTATTGCATTAAACAAGAATCTGATAATGGCTTTGTTAGCATCTATATTTCTGAATTTATTTTCACTCACAATCTCTTGATACAACACTTTTTAAAGTTTTTATTTTTAATCATACATACTATCCTGGCCTTTATCATAGATTTAAAACAGGTCTTTTAAACAGAAATCAGCTCACAGTGCAATGTGTCACTAAAAATAATTAAAATGTAATTGTTTTAAATCCCAGATAAGCATTGCTTTCTTGCAGTAAGACAAACCACCAACAATCTACAATGCAATTGTTTGAAATAAGCATGTTTTATTTTATTATAATGACAACAACCACTACTCGTCAGACCCTGATTAGAAGTCTTTATCCCCCGGTTCTCAATATCATGTATATCCCCTTTAAAAACAACTTGGAGTATTTTGTGGTAGATGTGGATCTGGTTCTTTATCCTCCCTGATGTTAAAGCTGTGCCTTCTTCTTAACAAAAACCCTCCAGTTCCTGTAAAATTCCTAGGCATACTTAGAAGCTCACCTCACTGATGGTATAAATTGAAAATAGAAAACACATTTATTTGACAATATATGACTTCACAAAATGACTATCGATAAGTGAAAAAATATTTGTGTTTACAATTCATCACAATGTAGAAAGCTTTTGAACAGTTTTACAATGTAAATAACGTCATGTAAATATTAATAATAATGTGTGTTTTGTGGCGCCAGGGTGAAGGGAATGCTGATGGTGAATGTCCTGGCCGTAGCAGCTGGACTCCTGATGGGCTTGTGCCAAATGTGGAAACCTCACATCATGGTCATCTCTGGACGCGCCGTCATGGGCTTCTACTGCGGTAATGTGAAGCTTTCATTCTGTACCTTGTTTATTGTCTTGTTTTGTAAGAAATACATATGTTACTTTTACTGATGTGATGTGATGCTGATAGATAAGACATTGAGCTTTGTGGCCGTTTTAGTTTCACACATACAGGCCCATGCATTGCAGAGATATGAACCCAAAACCAAGTCAATACGTTTGGGTGTTTGGTTCTGAAAAAGTCTAAACTGACCTCCATCTTACTTTTAACAGAGGAGAACTTTCTGATGTCATGTTCATTTTCTTCAGTTTTCACTCACATTTTTCCATCATTATGTGTGATGTTTTACAGGCCTCACCTCTGGTCTCGTGCCCATGTACATTGGAGAGATTGCACCCAAGAGTTACAGAGGAGCCCTGGGCACATTGCATCAACTTGCTATTGTCGTTGGCATCCTACTCAGCCAGGTATAGCACTTTACCAGTATCTAAAGTGGACAATATCTGACTGAATATAATGGATGTTGCTTAAAGAGGATATTACAAACACATGAACTAGACTAGAATAGAAAGCATGTTTTGACTGGGTGAAGAATCAAATATAATACAGACATTTTTTTGGTCAAATCAATGATTGAGCCATGATTAGGACTCCATGACCAAACCAAGTAAAAAAAAAAGAAGATATTTACTAAAAAAATGTTTAGCTTTTAACCATGTTACAACATTGTTCCCTCATCAAAGACAGAACTGGACTTTTCTTCAAAGAGCTATCTACTGTATGCTATATCATCAACTTCTGGCACACACATAACTCCCAATTGTACCACTGATGTCACGCTCAGAGCACTTTTAAAACAAAAGTATTTCATTCCCAGTAAAAGGGCATTCTTTATAATCACATCTCTCTCTTGGTAGCATACATAGAGATCGGGCAGGCTGATAGTATTATTTAACTTTTTTCACTGCATATTATTAAGATAATATTTCACATTGTACATTAAATGACATGGTAAATAGTCTAATTAACCTGATTGCTTTTTTACCAAACACGGATGAAATCTGAAATTAAAGGGGAAATATGTAAGAATATGGCTAAAAGTGGTCAATATTGTGCAGTCCTCTCCCGCTCTCAGAAATGCAGATAAATCCATCTGGGCCCATAATAGCTGAATAGACAAGAGTTTTGTCAACAACAAATCTATAACCAACACCTGTCTCACAAGCAATCGAAATCCTTGTTTATTTCTTGTTTTGTCATTTTTGATTCGAGAATCATAATGAAACCTATTTTAGTTCTGCGCCTACATGTTACTTTACCAGTGAGATTAGCTCGACGCTGTGAGCTCTGGCAACCCGGATCACGGACTTTCTGATTGGTAAAACGGTAGAGGGCGGCACATCGAAATGAAAACAATTACAAGATCTAGGGCTGTAACTCCAATTTTGAAAAGTATTTGAAAAAGAGCGCCTTTCGACGTACTAGAGCCATTCAATGATCACTTGACTTGCAAATCTTACATATCGCTACTTTAATAAATGATACAATGAAATATGTGTTTCTAGGTGATAGGGCTGGACTTTGTGCTTGGCAATGATTCATTCTGGCCCATCCTGCTCGGCTTGTCTGGGTCTCCTGCCATTTTACAGTCTCTTCTTCTGCCCTTCTGCCCTGAAAGTCCAAGATACCTCTACATTGTTCTTGGAAACGAGCAAGAAGCACAAAAAAGTCAGTTCAACAAACGTGAAAACCAAAGTACAGCTGTTGATTTGTGCATAAAGTTACATGTATTTTAGGCTTGTATCGTCTCAAGGGGAAGTATGATGCGACTGCTGACTTGGAGGAAATGAGGAGAGAGAAGGAGGAAGCTGACAGGGAGGCTAAAGTGTCCATTTGTTCCTTGGTAAGTTTGATAAAGAGTCAACTGAAAGATAAACACAGTGATTTTCATGTTCTCCCCGTGTTTGCATTGATATCCTCAAGGTGCTCCGTTTAGCCCAACCACTTAAATAAACCTGTACAACAGTCCTGTGCCGCCCCAACAACACCCCCCACTCACCCTCTTGCTCTCCGGGACCAGGACCCCTGAAAAACAGATTCTGAAATCTCTGTGGGACATTCCTGCATGGTTAAATAATAGTCAATATAAGTAAAATATTTTTGGACTATGTGTTCCAGATTGACAATACATTTCGACATGCTTCTTAAAGTTGTGTTGCCAAACTTTCAAACCACAAAACATGAAACTACTGCATGTTACTTACAGTATGTAGAAAAATCCATCTGATCCATTCATCAATCATCTCTCAAAGCAGTTTAGTTTCATATTTTTGCGCAGTGTTGTGCCAGTTCACAGCTTTTCTGAACTAGTTCAAGTTCAGTTCATACATGCTCAAAGTGAACAGTTCACTTTCAAAGTTCACATTTTTAATTCTGAACTAGTTCAAAGTTCAGTTAATTTTACTTTTTTCGTGAGATATATATATATATATAAGGCTCCAAGCCTTTGTTTGGCATGAAGCCAGAAGGGTGAACAGGCTGTTCGCAACACAACCTGCGAAGGTGTACGCTCAGTGGCAGGGTAACAACAGGGGAGCAGACCCACCGAGGCTGGAAACTGAACAGTTCTGGAAGAACATATGGGAGAAGGATGCAGCACATAACAGAAGTGCACAATGGCTGGTGTCCCTGAGAGAGGAGCACAGCCACCTCCCAGAACAGAACTCAGTTACCATCACAGAGGCAGACATCCGAGAAAGAGTCTCAGGTATGAAAAACTGGACAGCACCTGGCCCTGATATGGTCCATGCCTACTGGCTAAGGACACTCACATGAGCGCCTAGCAGCACAAATGAACCAGCTGCTGAGAGATGGGACTCACCCAGAATGGCTAACCGAAGAGCGAACGGTCCTGATCTTGAAGGACCCTGTCAAGGGTGCAGTCCCCTCCAACTACCGGCCAATAACCTGTCTCTCCACAACATGGAAGCTCATGTCAGGCATCATTGCGGCTAAGATAAGTGGGCATATGGAACAATTCATGAGCACAGCACAGAAGGGCATTGGTAGGGACACCAGAGGAGCCAAACACCAGCTCCTGGTTGACAGAACAGTCGCCCAAGACTGCCGGTCACGACACACCAACCTGTGCACAGCCTAGATTGATTACCAGAAAGCCTACGACTCAATGCCACACACATGGATCATGGAATGCTTGAAGTTGTACAATATCAACAGGGCTCTAAGGGACTTCGTTGCAAACTCGATGGGAATGTGGAAGACCACCCTTGAGGCAAATGGCAAGCCGCTCGCACAAGTGACCATCAAATGTGGTGTCTACCAAGGAGATGCTCTGTCCCCATTACTGTTCTGCATAGGCCTCAACCCTCTAAGCCAAGTAATTGACCAGACTGGCTATGGATACCGCCTCAGGAACGGAGCAAAGATCAGTCACCTCCTCTACATGGATGACATCAAGCTGTACGCCAAGAGCGAGAGAGACATCGACTCTCTGATCCAAACAACCAGGATCTACAGCCATGACATCGGGATGTCATTCGGACTCGAGAAATGTAGCAGGATGGTGACTCGGAGATGCAAGGTAGTCCACACAGAAGGGATCTCACTCCCAGAGGGAACAATAGCAGACGTTGAGGACAGTTACAAGTATCTCGGTATACCACAGGCAAATGGCAACCTCGAACAGGTGACGAGGAAAGCGGCAACTACCAAATACCTCCAGCGAGTAAGGCAGGTCCTAAGAAGCCGGCTCAATGGCAAGAACAAGGCCCGGGCAATTAACAGCTACGCCCTGCCAGTGATCAGATACCCTGAAGGAATAATCAGGTGGCCAAAGGAAGAGATTCAGACCACGGATGTTAAAACTCGAAAACTCCTTACCATGCATGGTGGGTTCCATCCCAAATCCAGCACCCTGAGACTGTACGTAAGCCGTAAAGAAGGAGGCCGAGGACTAGTGAGTGTGAGAGCCACTGTCCAGGACGAAACATCCAAACTCCATAACTACATCATGGAGAAGGCCAAAATGGATGACGTACTCAGTGAATGTCTCAGGCAGTGGCGAGATGAGGAGGTGCTGGAGGAGAGCCCATCATGGGAGAACAAGCCCCTACACGGCATGTACCACCGGAGCATAACAGAATTGGCTGATCTCAAGAAGTCCTACCAATGGCTAGAAAGGGCTGGCCTACAGGACAGCACAGAGGCACTCATCATGGCTGCACAGGAACAGGCACTGAGCACCAGAGCGATAGAGGCCCAGATATACCACACCAGACAAGACCCAAGGTGTCGGTTGTGCAAAGAGGCACCTGAGATGATCCAACACATAACTGCAGGGTGCAAGATGCTGGCAGGGAAGGCCTACATGGAACGCCATAACCAAGTGGCTGGCATAGTGTACAGAAACATCTGTGCAGAGTATGGGCTGGAAACCCCAAGGTCTAAGTAGGAAACTCCTCCAAAGGTGGTGGAAAATGAGCGTGCAAAGATCCTGTGGGACTTCCAGATACAGACCGACCGAATGGTAATGGCGAACCAACCTGACATTGTGGTGGTAGACAAAGGGCAGAGGACAGCCGTGGTGGTGGACGTGGTAATTCCAAGCGATGGTAACATCCGGAAAAAAGAACATGAAAAGCTTGAGAAATACCAAGGTCTCAGAGAGGAGCTGGAGAGGGCCTGGAGGGTAAAGGTGACAGTAGTGCCCGTGGTGATCGGTGCACTCGGGGCAGTGACCCCGAAGCTAGAAGAGTGGTTACAGCGGATCCCCGGAACAACCTCGGACATCTCGGTCCAGAAATGTGCTAGGAACAGCAAAGATACTGCGCAGAACCCTCAAGCTCCCAGGCCTCTGGTAGAGGACCCGAGCTTAGAGAGGGATAACCGCCCGCGGAGGGCCAAAGGTGAGTGGACAATTTTTTTTTAAATCTCCTGTACACCCACAGGAGGAGAGCCTTTTGACTACAAAACAGACAAGATTTACATGGTTTTCAATGGGAGCCAAACGGAGTTGCCCCATCTCTGCTCATAAACTAAAAACAGTAATGCGCTGCAGTGCGTGTATCTATACTTTATGTCAAATGTAAACCGTGTAAACTTTGTCGCTAACTCACCCTGCGTTTTCATCACGACTCGGGCACATGTGAAAAGCACCAGCTCAAAGCGCCGCACCGCAACCATACCGCAACACAGAGTCGGGGTGCGTTCACAGACGGTGGAAACCGTAGGAATTTTTAGATATTAGCGGAAAAAGTGCGAGAATACAGGAGGGAGGAACTTTCTCTCGTTGCGTTTCAAAAGAGAAAACAGATTCCAACGTTCTACGTCATGGTGCTACGTCCCTTAGGACTTCGCTAGTGGGATATCACTCGTGACCCCCAGGTCACACGCCAGAGAGATCAAAATAATTTGCTCCAATCACCAGCCACCCTCCTCTATAAAAGCCCCTGCACAAGGCCGCACCCCCTCTTTCACTCTGGCGCCGATTGAGATCTACCACAGTACGTACTTGATTCCAGAGAAAGATGTCTTCTGATGCTCGTCCGAGTTCCCCTTCGCCCTCCGGCGTCGGACGTCGTCGTTGCTCGACCTGTCGAGTCAGGCTCCAGCGCACGGACCAGCACTCCAGCTGCTTCATGTGCCTGGGCCCGGGCCATGCGGCGTTGAGCGCCACCTGCACCTCGTGTCTCGCTCTCCCCAGGGAGGAGAGCGAACGCAGGCGTGCGTACCTCGCCGCTGCAGCGCCCCGTCCGGACTCCTCTCAGGACGAGGAGTCTGAGACTGACTGGGCCCCACTCGACCTTCCACCCGTGCCCGCGGAGTGGGGTGACTGTGAGGACGGAGAGGTTTCGGAAGGTCGGCTCCCTCCTCGAACCCGGAGCCGGACCGCTTCCCACTGGACCACATGCCTGGGCTCTACTCCTCCGCGGCGGCCATCATGGATGCCCCCCTGCCACCGCAGCCGACCCAGAGGGCGGAGGACTTAACCTCTGGTTACGCCACCACTCGAGGGAGGAGGAGAATACAGCCCACGTTGTGCCCGCGGATGGACCCGATCGTCCATTACGCGACACGTGAGTGGCCAAAGCCCCTAGCGGCCAAGAGGCCCGCTTTGGGTTACGGCATGTATTGCAGCGTGCAGGACTGGTCCTGGACCGGCGGGGTCCCGGACATCGAGGATTCGGTCCGCATGGCCCTGCACCCCTCCGCATCCGTGTGGCCCGGCACCAGACCTCTCCTTCCCTCCGAGCGGGACAGGACGTCTTTGGCTATGCTGGACAGATGTTACGCCAATGCGGCACAGGTCGTCGCTGTGGCAAATAACATGGCCTTCATCACGGGGGCCCTGGATAGGTCGCTCTCTTCTGGCCAGGCGCTCAGTGGAGACACCTTATCACAGGCGAGGACCACCTCAGCGGCGATCCTGCGCATGTGCCAGGCGCTAGCTGTCGATGGCGGCCGCTCCATGGCAGCAGCTCAAGTCGGGGCCAGGCACCTTTGGCTTGGGCTAGCTAACATCAGGGAGGCGGAGAAGAGGCAGCTGCTGGACCTGCCTGTTTCCCAGACGTCCCTCTTCGGTCCGGACATGCAGACCCTGGTGGCTAGACTGGAGACCGCAGCCAAGGACTCGGCTAGCCTAGCCCAGCACCTAGCGCCGAGGCGCGAGGCCCGCCCACCAGCACGGAGCCGGGACAGATGCAGGGAGCGTTCGCCTGGGAGGCGCCCTGGCCCATATCCACGCTCAGTGGCCTATCGTCCCCCCTCGACGAGGCCCCGGGTCCAGACAGACACACGGGAGGCTCGCGGGACCAACGCACCCACCGCCGATCTCCCTATGGCAGAGGAGGTCGGGGTGGGAAGAATTCTTTCAATAAAGGCCGACCGGCATTTCATCATTACTCGCTGTCTGAGTCTCATTTGGGGGTATGTAACATGTCAAATAATGTTGTGAATTCTGATTGTGTTACTGCTCGAGCGCATAACGTTGCTTCGCTAGGCCTGCAGCCCCCAGAGCAGGGTTTGCAGTGCGCTACGCGAGCTACGAGCTCCGGTCCTCTGGTTCATGCTATGCCCTCCCAGAGAGAGGTCAGGCGGAGGGATCTGGTGAGTAGTGGTGTGTGTGCTTCGGCCGAACGCGTGTTAGCATCTCTGAGCTACAAGGCTAACACGGGGTCTCCCACTCCAGGGGCTCGCCCCCCCCCTCCATGAGGCAAGAGCCAGGGGGGGGCACAGCAGCCGAGTCACGTGGGATGAGCAGTCCCGTACTTATGACGTCGGGCCTGCAGGACACGTGACCGCCCCCGGCGCTCACGGTGTGACGCAGGGTGCCCCCCCGGCCCTTTCGTCCACCCCCCCTCCCTGTTAGGAACACCAGGAGAGGGCGGGGCCATGACGTCTCGTGTTCCAGCTCCCGTTCCGCCCCTCACAGACTTCTACAGCATCTGGAGGGAGCAAGGTTTGCTGACAGATCTATGGCTGGAGAAAACATTGCGCAGGGGTTACGCACTGCAATTCTCCCGAAAGCCACCACCATTCCGAGGCGTACGGGCAGCACGCTCTCAGGTACGGGGATCATTAGAGGCACTACAAGCGGAGGTCTCCTCCCTGCTGAGTCGAGTCGCAGCAGTGGAGGTAGACCCGCAGGACGCCACCAGGGGGCTGTACTCCCCTTACTTCTTAGTGCCAAAGAAGTCAGGCGGGGTGCGTCCCATTTTGGATCTGCGCGTTTTGAACGAGTGCATTTCCAAACGGCAGTTTCGGATGCTGTCCACAAAGCAGCTCCTCGAGTGTGTCAGGCAGGGAGATTGGATATCCTCCATAGACCTGACAGACGCTTACTTCCACGTGCCGATAGTGCCGGAACACAGGAGGTTTCTGCGCTTCGCAGTGGGAGAGAGGAATTACGAGTACTGCCGTCCCTTCGGCTACGCACTCGCGCCTCGCACTTTTTCCAAGTGCGTGGAGGCAGCACTGGAGCCGCTCAGACGCGCAGGGGTAAGAATTTTAACCTACATAGACGACTGGTTAATTCTGGCCTCATCCAGGGAAGTGGCCGTGAGTCATACGCACTGGGTCCTGTCCCACATACAGCATCTGGGCTTTGTGGTAAACAGGGAGAAAAGCAAGCTGCAGCCCGCTCAGCGGATGATTTATCTCGGCCTGCAGCTAGACTCTGTGACATTCCGTGCTGCATTGTCCGTGGAAAGACGGATGAACATTACCCGTCTGGCCAGGGAGGTTCTGGCGGGCCCCAGAGTCCACGCTCGGCGCCTCAGGTCCCTGCTGGGAATGATGGCGGCGGCTCATGCTGTGGTGCGGCTAGGCCTTCTCCACATGAGGAATTTTCAGAGGTGGATCTCACGCCTCAGGCTTCACCCCTCCCGGGACGGGGGGAGGCTGATCTGGGTTCCACAAGTGGCAGCATCGGACATCAGGTTCTGGCTCACTCCGGGTCTATTGCGGGACGGAGTGACTCTGGCTTGCGCCGTGTCTCACGTGGAGGTGTTCACGGACGCGTCACTCGAAGGATGGGGCGGGGTCCTTGGCCAGAGCTCTGTAGGAGGCTGCTGGTCGGACTCAGCCCGTCACATCAACCTGCTGGAGATGGAGGCAGTGCACAGGGTACTGCTGCACTTTGCTCCTCAGCTGCAGGGGAGACACGTGATGGTGCGCTCAGACAACACCACAGTGGTCTTCTATCTGAACAGGCAGGGAGGCACCAGGTCCCCCGCTCTCCATCGCATGGCGACGGTGACGCTGCTGTGGGCGGCGCTTCACCTCCTGTCTCTCAGGGCGCGCCACGTCCCGGGGGTCCGGAACGTGGGGGCCGACAGGATGTCCAGGGGGGGCCCACTCCAGGACGAGTGGGGCCTGGCCCCACGGGTAGCTGCGGAGATCTGGCGGAGGTTCGGCCGTCCAGTGGTCGACCTTTTCGCCAGTGCAGAAAACGCACAGTGCCCGTCCTGGTTCGCCTTAAGGGCCGCGGACGAGCCGCCCCTAGGCGTGGACGCTCTGGCTCATTACCCCTGGCCAGAGGGCCTGCTGTACGCTTTCCCACCAGTGCGTCTCCTGCCGGTCCTGCTGCGGAGGATCGAACAGGAGAGGAGGTCGGTGATCCTGGTGGCTCCGGACAGTCCGCATGCCCGGTGGTTCCCCTTTCTGAGGGGCATGGCGGTGATGGAGCCCTGGGCCCTCCCGGACGAGCCGGGGGCTCTAGTCCAGGGGGGGGGAGCCCTGTTTTCACGCCCGATAATCGGCCGCAGGCTCTGGGTTTGGAGGCAGAGAGGCGAAACCTCGTAGACCTGGGTCTCCCCCCTGCGGTGGTGGAGACCATTCAGGGGGCGAGGGTGCCGTCCACTGTGAGGGCCTACGCCACGAGGTGGAGGCTCTTCAGCGACTGGTGCGGTTCTCGTTCCTGGGACCCCAGGCGTTGCCCGCTGGAGGGGGTCCTGGGATTCCTACAGGAGCTTTTTGACAAAGGGAGGGCTGTCGCCACCTTGGCGGTGTTCGCGGCAGCCATTACCTCGGGTCACGACGGATTCGGGGGGTTCACAGCCCGCTCTCATCCGTTGTTTAAACGTTTTCTGCGGGGGGCGCGCAGGAGGAGGCCCCCGCTCCAGAGAACGCCCCCGGTTTGGGACCTCAGGGTGGTCCTTAGGGGGCTGTCGGGTCCGCCTTTTGAACCGGCGGCGGAGGCGAGTCCCGAGTGTGTCGCTTTTAAGACGGCCCTCTTGCTGGCGTTGGCGTCTGCTAAGAGGGCAGGCGACTTGTGTGCGCTCTCTGTCCATGCGTCTTGCCTGTCCTTTGGAGAGGGCGACGGCATGGTGGAATTGTGGCCCAATCCGGCCTTTCTCCCCAAGGTCATCACGTCGGCCTTTAGGTCGAGAGTCATCAGGATTAGGGCTTTCTATCCGGCACCGCATGCCTCCCCCGAGGAGGAGCGGCGGCACCTTCTGTGTCCTGTCAGAATGCTGAGGCATTACCTGGCCATGACTGCGTCATTCAGGTTGGGTGGTCAGCTGTTTGTGTGTCTGGGCCCCAAGAACAGGGGCGCCCCGCTGTCGGCTCAGCGGCTGGCGCACTGGGTCGCCACGGCGGTGCGGCGGGCGTATCAGACGCAGGGTCTGGCCCCCCCGGTGGGCTTCAGGTCGCATTCCACGCGTGGGATGGCGGCCTCTACGGCCCTTCTCAGGGGGGCGTCGGTCGAGGACGTCTGCCGTGCGGCTTCTTGGGCGTCGTCCTCTTCTTTCGTCCGGTCTTATCTTTTGGATGTGTCGGACCGGTCGGTGGCCCATTCCGTGCTGAGTGCAGCGGACTGAGTTAGACCGTTAGGTCCCTCCTCTGAGGGGGCCTTCGGTTGACTTTCCGCCCTGGTTCAGGAGCTCTTGGGAGAGGCGTCCTACAGGTGCGGTACTTATATGTGTGTTTTGGTCATCGGTAGTCCACGTCGGGAGCTCTTGGGAGAGGCGTCCTGGGACTACGGGTGACCTACAGTCTGTGTTACGTGGGGGTATCCTTGGTAGGAGTGGCCCGGTAACACGCATTTGTTTCTTCTGCCCTGAGTCCTCTCACTGTGTGAGGGTCTTGCTCGGGCGGAGCTCCAATCACCCTTCGCTGGCCTGCTGGGAGTACATGTTCCTACGGCCTCCGCGTTGTGTCCCACTAGCGAAGTCCTAAGGGACGTAGCACCATGACGTAGAATTAATAGTTACCTAATGTAACTTAAGTTCTACGAATAGGTGCGTAGTCCCTTAGCTACAAGCCCATCAGGCCAGCCCGGCTTGGCAGAGTTCAAGAGGGGGTGCGGCCTTGTGCAGGGGCCTTTATAGAGGAGGGTGGCTGGTGATTGGAGCAAATTATTTTGATCTCTCTGGCGTGTGACCTGGGGGTCACGAGTGATATCCCACTAGCGAAGTCCTAAGGGACCTATTCGTAGAACTTAAGTTACATTAGGTAACTATTAATTCATAGTGATGTCTGCCGTTCATGACACATAAAATGAACTAATTCACGTTCAAGTTCTTTTTAAAAAAAATTGTTGCGTTCAGTTCAACGTTCACGAAAAAATGAGCGTGTTCAATGAACGCGTTCTTTTGAACTCGTTCACGCACAACACTGTTTTTGCGTGTATTGTTCAGCTTTTACAGATGGAAAAAGAGTGGAGCACCCTCAATCAGCTCTCATCGCAGGTCTGTCTCTATATGTTTTTGATAGGATAAACAAAATGTGTGATGTATCTAGGAAAAGTGAGGTACTCCAGCTTTAAATATCATAGCGGAGAATTTCATCTCAAGCAGTTTACGTATATTATCACCAGTCAAATGACAATGCATATTTACATTCTTGCAATTTCTTCAATGCGTAACGAGCTTAGTTTCAACAGTGGTCCTTTTCTGCTATAGAGACTTTTCATTATTTGCCACAATGTTTTGAACTGAATCTGCTCAGTTTAAAACATAGACTCTATATTAAACATGAGAACTGCTTTGCTAAACTTTTTTAAATATGTTTTTCTTAAGATTCGTTCTCCTCTGTATCGCGACCAGTTGGTCGTTGCCCTCATGATGCACATCTCTCAGCAGCTGTCCGGCATCAACGCTGTGAGTAACAAAAGATACAGGTCAAACTTGTAGAATATTTGTTCAAAAGTTAATTATATTTCTGTAATTCAGCTTAGAATGCTAAACCCATTAAGCGATACTACCCTGAGAAAAGTCCAGCCGTTTTTTGTTGATTGATCCTGATTATGGCTCACAATAATGTCATTTTGAGATGTTTTAATCAGAGTTTTTACAAGCTGTGAGCCAATTATCAACTATATTGCATATGAAGGGTTAATATATGCAACTTTGAGTGTAATGTCATTTAGTTTCACATTAAATTGATTCACAGAAGTAATGGACTTTTAACAATATTCCAAATTTCCGAGTTTCACCTATACAGCAAAATAACAATTCATATTTATAAAAAATATCTTGTTAATTTTTTCTCATTTATTCCTGTGTCTAAGATCTTTTATTACTCAACATCCATCTTTGCAAAAGCGGGCATCGCTCAGCCCGTCTATGCCACCATCGGAGTCGGTGTAATCAACACAGTTTTCACTCTGGTGTCTGTAAGTGGAATCCAGGCTTTGTAAATATATATACGAATATGCCCATGAGCAAAGTGCTATGTGCTATTAACAGTATGTGCTTTGGTCCATAGGTGGCGCTTGTGGACCGAGCTGGAAGGCGCACTCTGACTTTAGCTGGGTTGGGAGGGATGTGCCTGTGTGCCATAGCAATGACCGTGGGCCTCAAATTCCAGGTAAAATATTATAATTATTGCTTTGTGATTGTGACAATTGTGTTACAGAGAAAGGGCCTGTGGTTGAAATGTAATTCAATTCAATGTGTTGTGTATGGCCCTAAATCACAGCAGCAGGACTTTGCCAACAACAGATCAGACAATCCAACATTTCGAACACAGGAAATGCATTAATAACAAACGGACAGGAGTCATTGGTCCATACGGGGCAGATGACCAAGGTCCATTCATGCACTTTCCCCACTGTGGCACTAGTGAAGGATCTTTTTTCTAATACGTCCATACATGTGCACATAGCGACCTTGCAGTCAAAATAAACAATCTTAGAAGAAATATGATGCATTATTTATGGGCATAAAAAACGTACTTTGTCGTTTCAGGTTTTAGAAGGTGAAGGTAAAAAAAAGACAGTCTTTGTGCTGCCGCCAGTAATGGATGTTGTTTTGCTTTTTGTATTCAAAAATGACAAGCTGCAAACACAGATGGTAAAGAATGTTATGTTACCTGAACCAATGCTAATCAAGAGGCAATACTTTTGTTTTAAAGAGGCCAAAATAAGATATAATATCCTGGATTATGAAAAAGGCCATTTATTTTGCTTTCAAAAGGCACAATATGAAAAAGGAAGAAGTTAATACTGAAATGTATTTACTTTGTGAAATATATCGACGAGTGGAAACCTGCTTCTAAATTGATTTTGTAACATTATGCTATACTTGGATTTTCTTCCGGTATTTTTCTAGTTTACAAACAAGAAACTTCTCCCCTCCCTCTGATGGTAGGGTTAGCTCATGCTTATTTCACCAGACATTTTCAATTTTTTATTTGAGATAATATTTTACTTTTACATTTTATTTTCAAATTTGAAATAAATAGTCACATTGTAATGTTTAGCAAAAATATTTTTGATTCAGTATTTCAATATTATGTTATTTACCCTATCGGTAAAAATAGCCGTATATTTGGTGAATTAGCAGTCAACCAAAGAACTACTTGTTTTCATTTCCCTTTTTTACAAACTGACTCTTCCTGAATATTGCAAAAAGTATTATTTGTGCTTACAACAGGTTTTGTCTTCAAAGAATCTCGTGCAATCATTAATGTGTGCAAACAAATGTTTTTGTACGTTGTTCCTGCTACACTTGACTGACACAGTTCAGTTTGGTAATTAACGCGTTAAATACTATAGTATTGTATTATTGGACAATTTTCACTGTGATTTATTGTGAAATGCTCTGTGGGTGTGGTGACACCCCTGGGTACCTGCCCAACCCACTGAAGATGACTCATAGTGTTCATCTCATACTTGTGTGATGAAGGCTTAACACTGAAACGTTGCAATCCAAATACATTTTTATTTTGTAAGCAAGAATAATTCTTATGATTTAGCTTCGGCTGTACAGGCCTCTCATCCAAAGTCCCCAATTGAATACCATTTGATTTGATTGAATACCATGCAATAACATGTTTGTCATTCAAACACACACTGTCCAACGTTGCCATGACGTCCTGCAGAACGACTACGCCTGGATGAGTACCCTCAGCATGGTGGCCATCTTCCTCTTTGTGTCCTTCTTTGAGATCGGCCCTGGTCCCATCCCCTGGTTTATTGTGGCTGAACTGTTCAGCCAGGGCCCCAGACCGGCAGCCATCGCTCTGGCCGGCTGCTGTAACTGGACCTGCAACTTCATCATCGGCATGACCTTTCGATACATACAGGTATAATACTGGACAAACAAACACAGGCTGTGTACAGTGTAGGCTTCTCATTCACACTGTCCTGGATTTTCCATCTCTGATCTTTGTTTTTCTTAAGACTTAAATGGATCTAAATCTTAATTGGCTTTTCAAAAACTAGCTGGTCTAATAGTCTGAGGCAAACCTGAAGGCCTGGCTCACTTTAACTGGTCCAAGTTTGGTTCACTTGGGGAAAAGGATTCACAGATCTGTTTCAAAAGATGTGAGTTAGCTTAAGTGTTGAGTGGACACATATTTACTTGTTTGTTGTTGTTACATCTATAATAAATCACTTTCGCCCCAAGTGAGCCAGTATGGGTCGAGTTAAAGTGAACCAGTCCAGTAGGAACGTACCTCTATTTTACAAAGCCATATAAAATAGAGGCACGTAAAAAGCTTAAACTTGTGTCAAATGCATTTGTCAAATTGTCTTTATTAATAAGAATCCCAAATAAAACACACTAGAATTGGAGTGTAATAGCTGATACTATACTAATACTACTACTACTAATACTACTACTACTACTGTTAAAAAATGTTTAAAGAATGTATATAGTCTTACTGTATCTAATCACAATGTACTAATTTTTCCTCAACATCTGACTGAAATGTTTGCACAGTGCTGTAAGAAACTTCTCTTTCTCATTGCAGGAAGCATTGGACTGTTATGTTTTTATCCTGTTCGCTGCGCTCCTACTGTGCTTCACCATATTCACTTATCTTCGGGTCCCGGAAACCAAAGGAAAGACATTTGAGGAGATTTCTGCCGTTTTTCATAAGGGACGTAAAAAGAACGCCACAGACACTGAATTGCAGCAGCTCAAAGGCTCCACCGAGGCTTGAGTCATGGCCTATGTCTGAATATCCAAACTACTATGCCATTTTAGGTTTCAAAAAGCTGATATTCCCAGTGCGGCTTGGTTTGAATATAATGTTAAGATGAAGAGATCCTTTATTCGTCCCACAGTGGGGAAATTTCAGTGTTGCATCAGCAGTTACAGAACAGGACACAACACAAGATAAATGAACAATAACTCTATACTAGATAAAATATAATAATAAGCATAATAAAAAAGTATAAAATCTCTACCTTTGGCATAATAAGAAACAAGTAAAAAGTACTGTGTATTCTAGTGCAAGTAATATATAGTAGTATGTTTACATCTGTACATGTTAGCTAAGTAGAGCAACAGTGGACACATGTGGTTCTAAATTGCGCATTGTGACATTATAAAGTTATTATTGCACATTAGTAAGTAAAGTAATGTGAAAGTGACACTTGCACATTCTGACATTACTTCACGATATTGCACCAATGTATGTCACGTGAGGCTGTGTTTGTTAGTCCACATTGTTTATTGTACTTGTTAAGGCAGGACTCAAATGTAGAAATTAGCGAGAATTTGTTATTATCTTTGAGACTGCTCCCAAATGGGACTGTATGTTGGACCAGCAGTGCAGCAAAGAAGATGGACTCTAACTACAATACCCTGAACAGACAATATTACATCTCCACCTTGTTCAACGTTTCAATAGAATTTTCTTAAGTCTTATCAAAGCAAATGCAAGTACCATTCAATGTTGTTTTCTTGTACATAAACATCCAGTACAATGCCAAGTGTAATTCATTGTTTCTCAAAGTTTTTCTGGAAATATCTGCCCATAACTTTTTGAGATCTATTGTAAACCAACGAGCAAACAGACACACAAAGAAATCCTGTCGATTACATTACCTCCCCCAGACAATAATTGGCAGTAGGTTCTAGACATCATCAAGAATGAGAAGTAGGAAATGAAAACAATCTTGACCAATGCCAGGCCTAAAAAGGTGAACATTACATTACAGTATTCCATGTGTCTTTCAGTGTGCATTTATTGAAACACTGTTGTGTATTTGTTTTATGGGAGAATGGGAGATGTTTACAAACCTTGTAAGGGGATGACAACAACATGCAGTAAATTAATAGAATGCAACTGATAAAACGATACATTAATAAATATACATTTCTTATGATTAATTTTTTTTTCTGTGTTTGCATTTCCTAACTTTGTTGTTGAAGTAATCAATCTTCTGCAGTTGTTGAAGTACAGTATATGTAGTCATGGCCCACAACACAGGTGTGGGTGGGGATTAACTAGAGCAGTGTCTCCCAAAGTGGGGTCCGCGGCCCCCTGGTGGGCCGCAAGGGTACTGCAGGGGGGCCGCGGGAGGTCATAAAAAAAATAAAAAAATAATATAATTATTTAATGTTAAATTTATAATGTTGTGTTTGTAATATTAAAATATTTGTGTTCATTATTTGACTTGAATAATCCACTGTAATCATTTTTGTATTACAATGTTTGTAGCAGAGGCTATTTCCCCAAAATAAAATAACCAGAAGAGCCTATTCTTAATGTTGTCTTCTTGGTTATTATTTTGGGGGGCCACGCAGACCCGTCAGATTTTTAAGGGGGCCTCGGTGTTACTGAGTTTGGGAATGGCTGAACTAGAGGTAAGATATATGAATGTATTTAACCTCACTACATTGTGGTGTTCTGGGTGTCAGAACAGGAGGACATCTACCAACCAACGTCTGCATACAATGTCAAGAAATGTGATTTTACTTCTTATACAGTCTAATGCAGCTGTATATCACTACACATACACACATACAAAAGTACGATGCATGTACACAGCAATAGATCCATGGTACACAGTCGTATGTTTTACCCCGTGACTCCTCCCCTTCAGGAAGCCCCGCCCCCTCCTTTGGTTCACTCCTCTTCCTCTCGCCTGCACCACGCTTCTCTTCTGCTACGTAGCCTGCTTCTGACTGTCGTCCTCTGCGGAGCTGTACTTGTTCAAACAGCATTTAACTACGTGTATTCCTTCCCATTCACTCCCTCTTCTTCCTCCTCCTCTTCTTCTTCACCTGCCACATAAATCCTCGATCCAGCGTCGGGCCTCCCTCTGCCCCTCTCACACAACAAGGTAAGACGCATCCGACTTCCCTCATCTTTACTTGCGTGTTTTCACGGCATCCTGGTCCTGTGAGAACCCCGGTCCAAACCCATCGCCACCATCTCGGACTTTGTGAAAACCTCCGAGGTCCAAGAGGAGCCCGATCTTTTGTTTGCTAGCTGTATTCTGTTTAGTCACTGTGAAAGAAAGGGCGTGGGGCAGAGACAGGGCCATGTTAGTCATTTGGCCCCACTGCCACGTAATACTTTCACATTTATTACAGTGTTTTACATGCGCATTGTCTGTGGGTTTAGTTCCAATAGCCGCTGGGGGGTGTGAAATGATGGTGGAAGTCAGTGCGCAGAATCCTCACACATGCTGGGAATTGTTGAGTTGGAGCATACGGCGTCGGTAGCTTAGCATTAGCTTAACTTCTCAACTTTGTCAGCATTTGAATGGGGAGCGCGTGCCTCTAAAGTTAACCCATGGATCTATAGAGTTAACCACGTGTCCACGCTTTCAATCTTTCCCTTTGTGTCACACTAAAGTTATGATTTTGATCTTTTAATTCTCTCGTTGTGGCTTTTCTGTCTGTTTTAGTATGTCCGACACAGAATTTGATAGTGCCGATTCTGGGGCCTCCGAGACTTATCCCCGGCAATGCTCTTCTCTGAGAAAGAATGGTCACGTGATGTTGAAAGGCCGCCCGTGCAAGATCGTGGAAATGTCCACTTCTAAGACTGGCAAACACGGACACGCTAAGGTACCACAATTTTATTGCTCTTTTTGATGACTATGTCCTTCGTATTCTTACAAAACATAATAATTGTTTGGCATGTCATGTTGCATGTAATAAGTCTTTAATTGCAGTTTTATAACCAAAACAATTACATATGTTTAACTTTTACCTGTTCAATCTGAAAACTTCAAATTGTTGAACATTGTATCATTCAGTATCAAACTAATCCCCAGATATCAACACTTTTTTTTTAACTATCACACCAGTTTGTCATCAATGTATTTGAAGCCTCTACTGCAGGGGTGCCCAAAGTGGGGCCCGCGGGCCAAAGTTGGCCCGCCAGACCATTTCAGTTGGCCCGCCAAACATTGCCCACCTCCGCTGTAAGTTTCTATCTGCGTCCCTCAGCCTCGCTGAACAAACAGTAACGTGTCTGAGGTCGCACGGGCACAAAGTCGCCCTCTGAACTCCGACTGTCCAGTACTTAACTGTTGTATCGAGATACACTCCTCACTCATGGTTCACATCAACTTGCACTAAACTGTTTTTCAAAATCAAACACATCTTTCAAAATAATTGGGTGCAAGGCCCCTTTATGTTCTTTTTTTTCAGCCTACTATTATTATTTTTTGGAGCTATTTAATGTTTTATCAAATTGAGAGGATTGTGCTGGCGAACTGCCACTCCCCCTCCTCACCGGAGGGAAATGGCGAGTGGAACTATTCACCTGCGCAATCCGCACCCACCCGGTGTGTTAAAAAGGACGGACACAAACACTTCAGAGTGAGTTCAAGCAGGGATCGCAGCGCACGATCCACGCAAGTAGAAGCAACAATTACTGTGCAAAACAAACCCTTCTACAACCCAATGAAAGAAGCCGGTAAGCACCGTCCTCACTCGCGATCATTGAATGTCAGACAGAACTTACGCGGCATTTTATGATGCGTTCAAGAGCCCTTTGGAGGAGCGGAAACTCGGACTCTTTAACAGTTACTTTGTTTTGATTGTTTATAAATGTTGTACTGTGTTTAGGCAAAACAAAACTCCAGGAACAAATCATGGTTAACTAGTCTGATTTTGTTAGTTTAATATTCAGTTCTCTACTAATTGAGAATACTTGTCCTATGTTAAAAATATTAAGTTAAAAGAGTTAAAACCTGATCATGTTTAGAAAATGCAGTTAGCAATTATGTTCCCAAATTCATTACTTAATGTTAAAATGTATTGTTTAAAAGTGTGCTAAAACCAGATCTATTGATCAGAGATGTCTCCCCTTTTTGATAAAAGCTAAGATAAAGTAATATGATTCAAATGTAGTTAAAAACTTTTGTTCAAAATAAATATATGAAAATAGACTTGGAAATTGCTTTGGCTCAGTGCAACCGAGATAATAAAAATAAAGAATAAAAAACACTTCTAAGGAATAAATTTAAAATAGAGTTAGTTACTATTTACAATATACAAGTGCACATGGTGCACACAAAATGTATGTTTCTGTTCTCTTTTTGAGGTTTTATTATATGATTTTAACCTTTAAATAAGCCATGACAGAAAATCTCCCTCCTCTGGACCCTGATTACCCGACCGGAATCTTTCCGTACTGTAGTCTCCTCAAACCTGCATATTTCCCAGGAGTCTCCATTTCACTAAGACTGTGTTGATTTCATTCATTCAGCTGTGATTTGCACTGCTAGACAATAATTAATGCATTTAAAAGAACTTGATCAAATCTACATTTATTTGTGTTTCATGCATAATATTGGTGTATTTGGCCCGCGGCCGACTGGCAAATTTTTACTTTGGCCCTTGGAAGCAAAAGGTTTGGGCACCCCTGCTCTACTGCGTCTAAAACGACTAGAACTACTCTCCCTGACCTAGTTATGTTCCTATGCAGAATAATATTGACATTTTATTTATCATGATATGGTGCATGTTATGAACCAATGTAAAGATTTTTTTCTCCAGTAAAACATCCACACCCTTCATTTCACTATGATCATTGAACACTATATTGGTACAAATTCAATCAAAAGCATACTTGTGTTCATTATGGTCAGAATGGGCTAAATGTGGTATGACTGGTCAAAGGAATTTATTATTGTCTGAAAATGTTTACATACATAGACAATAGGGCTGGGCGGTATAAACGGTATAAGCGGTATAAATTTGGCCCACGGTAGAGATTTTTGTTATACCGGCATATTGCGATAGGTCATTATGTCATCAAATTGCGCAGGCTCTGACGCCAGCAGAAAGCATCAAAACAAACCGGCATTCAGCAGCATTAGCCTAGCACATTAGCCTAGCACATTAGCCTAGCACATTAGCCTAGCAGACACCACTGGAAACAACAGCACGGCTTTCACACAGTGTTTCTGTCTCTGTATTGGTCACAGCGGCCCCAGCAGAGGTAAATACACACACAGCAATCACAGTTTACATGTCTACCTTTCGGCCAATGAGTGTCAAAGGGGCGTAGGCTCGAAGCGCCATCGTGAGCCGAAATAGATCCATGCTTGTGCCGTGTCCGCATCATCTCAGAAGTTTTGTAAAGTTAGCGTCCGATTCAGACTTCCGCGGTCAATAGATCACGAAAGCAAAATTAATTGTGCCAAAATGAGCATTTACATCAATTGTTCAAATCAAATGCGCTGTTTTAATGCAGATAAATCCATTGAATCATCCAGTTCACAGCAAGCGCTTAGGGAGCGTCAACAAATGGCAAGACTAGCTTTGTAAACGAACAATAGCTTTTACTGAAGCCATGCATACGCACTAAACTCTGACACTATAAATAATGACCATGTCTAACTGCTACAGATATTATTATATATATATTTTTATATTTTTATATATTTTAATTGCTTTCACAGTTAATGGTCTTTACTGTAACATACATAAATAATGTATGTTACAGCATTTGTCTCTCACCTGATTTTCAAACTCAAAAAATATATATCAGATTCTAATGTATAGATAAGTAACAATCTTGACTATTTTATGCAAGAACCTGCTAAACCTATATTGAAATTCACACACCAAATTATACCGTGATGTATACCGTCTACCGTCTGTGACCCAAATCATACCGCGATATGAATTTTAGGCCATATCGCCCACCCCTAATAGACAATTCTACATACTGAAAGTAGAGGTGCAACGGTTCATCACTGATCCGTTCGGATCAACGTCTTCGGTTCGGTACAGACGTGATCTGCGGTTTGATTTTTGAAAAAAAAGTGTGCACGTTGTTCAGTCCACACTAGGGGTGTGACGATGGATCTATTATCGATACTTTCTCCCGCGATTCGATTATCGATATGCATTTGCCAAGTATCGATTTTGAAGAAAAAAAAATAATATCTTTTATTTTTTTACAATTTATTTTTTAAAAATTGGTATCAACTTAATATATGGCTACATTACGCATCTCCATTCCATTATCATGAAACAAAGTGTATTTTTTCTTTTATTTATGCCATAAATTGGCATATTGTATATTTCTGACCAATATATCAATAATCGTCATATCGTATAAGGAACCCCCCCTTTAAAGCCCTATTTAAATCCCCCTGTATGGGATCATTTTGACTTCACTGTCAACTATACTGATGATTAAGTCGACAAAACTGTCAATGTGTGTAAGCTCTGGCACAAGAAAGACATGATTGAAAAAAAAGCGTCTCAACGACCGCTTATTGTCGCTGCATTTAAGCAGCTCCTTTTATGCACAGTCAGCCCGGGCTAAAGTCAACTCTCCCGCGCATCCTCGGCTGCGCTCACGACTGACGCTTGGACGTCCAGTGGAACCTATAATAGATCCATGAGCGGAACTGAGCTATGTTACGGGAGATGAGAAGTCTGGTGCTGCAGCGGAGGAATGGAAGACAAACGTCCAGCACTAATATTCCAGTCACAATTGATAATGCCAAAAATTAAATAAATGCAGTGAATGAGGCTGGACTGGGCCCAGAATGGACTGCCTCCTTGGGAGAATCAGGAAGGTGGTTTAATAAATCAGGGGAAATACCCTCATACAGTGCCTTCTTGTGTTGCACTTTGTGGTGTTTTTCAGTAATTAATGTTAAAAAGACCTAGATGGATCCCCTTAATCCATTTCTAGGTCAGAGCAGGTGCCGAGTCCACATGAGCCGTGTTTATTAAAATGAGACCACTTATTTTTTTGAATAATGAACCGAACCTCTGCCTCTGAACCAAGGTACGATCCAAACCGTAATTTTTTTTTTTTTTCAAACCGTTGCACCCCTAACTGAAAGTGTCTAGGCTGAAGGTTGGTTTGCCCTAACCCTATCCTATAAATGACATTTCTAGTCAATATCAAACTCTGAAATAAAGTGTTACATCAGGGGTCACCAACCTTTAAGTCCGAAGGCTGCCTCATTGTGACCAAATCAAAAGCTATTATATATTGTTGAATGGAAATTAATTGTGCATTGCTCAAATGGGTCAAAAATAAACCCATTTTATTTTATTTTATTTCAAGTTCAACTATTGCAAATTACTTTGAGTCTAATTGAATGGGGGTGTTATTTATTCTCCCTTTTATGGTCACTATGGCTGATAATACAATTCATGTAACTAATTCCTGGCTATAAAACAGTTTTGTCACTTTCCACGTGCAGTATTTTTGACCTGACAACGTGAAACACGCATTTTCAGACTTTGCCAAGGATTTAATAAGATGAACTATTGTGAACACATCGGACAACAGCACACATTTTTACTTTTGGACGTTCGGACAGTCCTGGCTCAAAGTTTATAGCAAGTTAGCTTTATTTGTTTAACTTGAGGGAAGTGCATCATTCTTAACTGTTTAAAACACTTGGTTGAAACGTGCATAAAACGTGGCGCCACTCATTGCGCTGAAGACCTAGATTATTCATCCTTGGTCTTTTGTAACATCTTTGATTGAGATAGCCTTTGGCCTTTCAAAACATATTTAAGTTTTTTTTTTTTTTTTTTTTCTCAAAGTCAGCGAAGGGAAGACTGCCGGCTTTGTTTATGGCCGCAGATACATATACAGGCTAATGCAGGGTTGTTTTCCTAAAAATTGATACCGTTAGATAAATGTATTTAAACAAAATACTCTTGGTTCTCCACTTGATATGAGCAGTTTCTGCAACTACAAGCTGCAGAAAAAGATGATCATGGCTCTTAATATGGAGATTTACTTCCTGTCCCTGGGAGGACTTTCGCGCCACTGCAGGACGTCAGCTGCAGCCCGGCAGTACATGCCATATCCCCATCGCCCTGAGCTCTTCTATAAACCCACTGGTCTGTATTGTGTACTATAGAACATGTGTGTCTAATCTCAACAACCACCTGTGCTCATCATAAACTGGGTTCTCTAGAGTTTTCTAATGAGCGGAAGACTCTATGGTGTAAGACTTTTAGCTCACAGAATGTTTGATTTTTCAAGATTTTCTGTTCAGAAATGATGTGCATCGCCGCATTATGCTTTCATTTTCTTTTTTTGTTTTCTCTCTGAATCTGACCCCAGGCTGTGCTGTCTTCTAGGTTCACCTTGTTGGAATTGATATTTTCACTGGGAAAAAGCTTGAAGATATTTGCCCATCCACCCATAACATGGACGTTCCAAATGTTACAAGGAAGGACTACCAGGTAACAAGCTGCTGCCAATGAAGTATATATACTCTTTTGGTAGTTGGAAACTCGGGAGCCCTCTCCAAATGAAAGTTCAGTGAGTCAGATGGTTAGTCAACGCATGTGCCACATGTCTGCTTTTTGTGTGGGGGAAGGAAAAAACAAGTTTTCAACTGGAGGAACCAGTTTTGACAAAGGCAATGTGTTAATATTGGTGTACATGCTGAACTAGAAATGCTACAAAAATGATTTGCTGTAGAGAATGGGGATTCCGGTCCTCTTTGGGGCAACTACACATGGTTTGTAGTGAGGGGCGGGTGAACCGCAACACATTGAGGCTTTCCTTTCCCGACTGTTAATGTTTGGGCCGCCTCTGAGCTAGCTCAGACCAGCTTGTAACACTATCTCGTGGATATCTTTACTCATTGCAGCCTCTGAATAACAGTCCATCATAAATAACACTCAAGACAATTGTTGGGGTTTCACTTTAATGCCACATAACTATGACCAGAGAAATGTCCTACTGCAGCAAAACATGGGTATTTTGCTGTTGTTAATTCTTTTTTGAGTCTTTTGAATAAATGTGTTTACAGCTAAACAAAGTGACTGCACGTAGATCACAGGTTTTTATGCAAAAACAATTATTTTATTTTTAAATTTTTGGCTCACCACCTTTACAAATAATTATCAATTGTAAGACACGACCTTGTTGGGTTGATTAAGATTAAAATGTTCCCAAACCATGGTTCTGTTTTCCACTTGCAGATGCCGTCAAAGTCGCCAACACGACAACACTACCCAACAAAAATGATGCATCATTTTATACTGTAGCTATTTAATGCCTATCCACTGAAGGCTGTCGCAACACTCTGAGCCGATGCAAAGCCGGGAAACTCATTGAGTCAATGAAAAGCTTCATAACTAGGGCTGTCGAGCTATTACATTTTTTTAGTTGATTAATCGCATAGTAATGGTGAGTTAAGTCACGATTAATCGCATTTTTAACATTCTATTTCAAATCCACTCCAATTGAAGTTAAATGAGATTGTCAAATGTAATGACACATTGTCATTCATACCAAATGTACAGACAAAGCACACAACATGCAGAGAATAGTCACGTGTGTGTGTAGGGCCTACCTGCTCTGTTGCCATCTCACACACACGTGTCCGCAGCATTCTGAATGATGATATGGATAAATGGGCGGGTCGTTCGGACATGCGTTAATACGTAATTATTATTTTTTTACGCGTTAATAAAACATGTAATTAACGTGAGTTAACGCGATAATTTTGACAGCCCTATTCGTAACACTGACATAGTTGATCCGCAAAGCTGTGGCGGCAGTGTTCAAGGTGCCGACATGTTTGTCATGTGACCAGCTGTTTTGATACTTGCTCCAACTGTGTTTTTCGATGTGGTCTGCTTTGAAACGAGGACTGTTCACATCTCCGGTCTACTTGTTGCATGTTAAAGTTTGAAGTTACTCATTACTAATGATTTTCTCATTGTGCTCTTTTTGTAGCTTCTCGACATTGACGACAATTTCATGCATCTGTTGGAAGACAACGGCGATACCAGAGAGGATCTTAAAGTCATGGATGATGAAATCGGCAAAGAGATCAAGAATAGACATGAGAATGGCGATAACATTCTTGTAAGAAAGACTTAAATGTAGTTATTATTACAGTGCAAGTAAGCAGAACGATGAGGCCCAGAATAAGGCAGACAAGTTCTGTGCTTTGATAGAAATAGATCTGGGGCCGTATTCCTAAAGATTCTTAGTGCTAAAAGTTGCTCCTAGCGGCCAAATTCTAAGAATTTTCTTAGAATCTTGACCAACTCTTAGAATTTCCCCTAAAAGTGAGGAGTAGCTTCTAGTTAAGAAAAAAGCTATTCCTAAAGAATCCTAGCTCTTAAGAGTGCTCCTAAGGTGAGATCCCTCAAGAGTTGAGAGGAGGACTTTTAGCAACTTAAAAGTTCCCTAAGAGGACAAAATGGTGGACGGTAGAGGCAGGAGAAATATTCTATACACTGGATGACAGTGAATCAGTAAAACGCTGCAGATTGGATCCTGCAGGTATCATGTTTAAAAGTCATTCATGTAAAAGTCCATCCATCCATTTTCTTCCCCTTAATCCATTTCTGGGTCGGGGGGGTTGCAGTCAGAGCTGCACCCAGTACACCAGCCCCTCACTGATCCTCCTGCAGGTGGTGAGCCCACAGGAGCTGAGATCTTTCAGTGGGGGCTTTTAGGCAAAGTGGGGTTAAGTGTCTTGCCCAAGGACACAACGACAGTAGTCATCAGTGGGAGTTGCGAAGTAGGTCTTACGGTGGGCTTGAACCCACGATCTTCAGGCCCAAAGGCCAATGCTCTACCAACTGAGCCACTGTCTTGTCATCATGTACAAATATACAGTTTTGTTTTATTAACAGCAATCCAGTTCAAAAAGGAGTGTGAAGAAGTTAATACTTTTAAACTCCCACCCTCTATTTATCATTCTAAATTAACTTAAATAGTGTGGTCGCTACAGCTTAGTTTATTCCATGGTGTATTTACAGTTATGCAACAGTGACATTCACAATAACAGGCACTTGATTTGTGTATGTATAAAATGCTTATATTAATATTTTTTCCTTAATTCCTTTTACGTCTTTCAGTATCACAGCCTTTACTAATCCTAATGTTATCATAATCATCTAATTATATATATATATATATATTATATATATATATATATATATATATAAGTGCTCATGTTATATACCTTTGTTAAATATGTGTGATAAATTGGTGCTGAGCAAGCTCTAATGATGTGGTGTAAAAGTCAAACTTACAACAGTAAGTTAGACAATATTAGTAAATACATCTGACTTTCTACCTTTTCTGATTATTTACAATGACACAGTATTCCTAAGATTAGATTCTATGATTGAGTTTGTCCATTAGAGGATCCTTATTTTGCCCATTATCAAAAATATAGGATCAACCAATCGCAGTGTCTGAAATGATGACTCATACCTAGCAACGGGGTCGGTCACGCCTCCTCACTAAGATAAGAGTTGTTGTCAATTCCTTGCTCAGAGTTCTCTAAGAGTGTTCTGGAATAACTTTTAAGCTAAGACTCCTAGCTAGGAGTTTTTAGGTTAAGATAGGAGCTCTCTTAGAGGACTCTTAGAATCTTTAGGAATACGGCCCCTGATGTTTACTTTTTCCTGAAGGAACTTCATAAGGAACTGGCACTCCTAAACACTGACTGTAAATTGAAAAGCCAGATAAAATGCAATGCACTTTTTTTTATTCAAAAGGACCAAATATGATCAGTAAATGTTGACATTGTGCCAAGTTCCCTCTAATTTTTCATGGATTTGAGCCAAAACAAACTAAACTGCATCATTTTGTTTTTTGTTTTTGCCTCCTCACACACCACAGCACCTGTAGGGCTTGTCACTCAGACACTGGTTTTACATTGACCTGCGGCAAGACCATAATTGCTGTTCACAGTGTGCAGTGTGGGGATGGTCCTGGTCCGAGTCGAGTTCAAACGCTTCAGACTTCTTTGTTGAGCCGGTGGTTCTCCTCTGTATCCACCCTCGTCAGAGAGAATGCATACATAGGAGAGGAGAGTTTTCCAGTCTCTGAATGGGGCCTGCGTGCGCAGCTCCACCGCGGTCCAGACACTAACGAGACGTGGCTGATTCGGCCCCGGCTTTTTTGGTCTATGGTCGGGGGGGATAAATTAATCGATGCAACCTGATGCATTTCATCTGATAAGCTGTTAGACCGAAGCTCGTCCAATTTAGTTCACGTGTGTCTATTATTGTTTATATTTAAAGGCACACCGCGGACTTTGTGACCTAAAGAGTTGACACATATGAGTTATTTTATATGAATACTTGGGCCAATATACAGCGCTTGACACTTGCAATGCTCCGAGCGGGGCTGCCCTCTTGAAATACCGCCCATGTAACTTTAGAGCAGACGGACCGTCTGCCACCAGGTCACGTGACTTGGAAGAAAGATATGCTTTACGGCTACAGGCGCTGATATACTCATGGAGCTAAGGCTTTTGCTACTCATTTTTCACCTGCTCGACTCCTGGTCATGGCTGAGGCAAGGAAAAATTTTAAACCTTCGGAGGAGGCTAAAAAGAGGAAACGCGAAAGGGATCGTGCTGTAAGCTGCATGTCTGTATGAGCGCTGCTCTTCACCTGGTTCCTGGATGTCATCAACCGCAAAGATGTCATTCCACGCAGCACGAGCTAGACGCAGAACTCCCTCATCCAGGATATAGAAGTCCATGTGTGGTAGATTACTAATGCAGCGGTCTGGAGGCTGACCACAGCAGAGTCTCTCAATATCTGTAGGCATGTCTCTACAGTTTGAACACACACACCAGTGCATGCTGTCTGAATACACACTCAAAAGACACCGGCTGACGGTTTGTTGACTTTTGCGACAGTGCTGAGTTGCTTGTGGCCACTAGGGGCGCTAAACGTGAAAGTTGCAGGTCTAGCGCCCCTAGTGGCCAAGAGTTACACGGTGTGCCTTTAAAGCGTTTGTTCCTTGAAAAAGTTCCCATTTTACCTTGAAAGTGCTTGAATTTTACACTTCAAACGCTGTACGAACCCTGACAACCCTGATAATTGCAGGCTTGCACACTCATCTGGATACATGGGAAATTCTTACACACTGTTTGTTTTTTGTTCATTTTACAGGTGACCATTTTAAAGGCTGTGGGTCAAGAAGTGCCTGTTGCTACGAAAAACGCGCCTTAATGACTGGACCACATCAAGTTCAAACACCACATCTGTGGTCTGTTTTCTATTTTGTTGTTGTAAGCAAATTATGTCTATATTCCAAAAGTTGCATTCCCTGAATGCCAAAATATTAAAGTTACATTGTAAACATTGAGGGCATGTAAGACTTCTCTGGTAGAATAATGGATTCTGTCCTGCTTTATAGTTAATTTCAAGTATTGACGCAAAGTCCATTGGTAATATCTTTTTATGACTAGGTCTGAAATTTGGGTAACTATTCAATGCCACTGAAAAGGATTCAAGCACATCTGTGGCTAATGCAGAACGGAGAAGGCCCTGTTGCGGTATTTGTAGCTTTTCACATTCCAAAATTTCCAATCTCCAAATAAAATGTATTTTTACCCTCCATGTGAGACTTTGTCAAGGCTTGTATTTTCCCATCACATGTTTGTGGCTGCATTAATTCCAACTAGAAGCAGCCAATGTACTATTAGCTGAAATGTAACTTTCATGAAAAAGTTTAATGCAATTCTGAAAATGTTTACAAATGTTTAATGTTACTGAAACATGGATGGTCTTCTGGCAATTTTGTATTACTTCTCATTAGTTCTTTCAAAGTTAAATTGTTTTTTGTAAGTATGAGGGGATTGTGCTCTATCATAGTCTCAACATGCTTTGACTTGGTCCAATTTATAAGGAGCTTTCTAAAGATAATGGACCAAATTTTAACTGAGTCTTACTGCTAGGTTCATCTATGTAGTCATTCACAAAGATAGGTTGAGTCTCTAGATTTGTTTATGCGACTTGCTAGTGTTACTTCACTTTAAGGGTTCCCAATGACAGCAGTTTTCAACCTTCCATAGATGTTTTTTTAATTTTTTGCTTAGCACGTTTACCTTCACAGCTACCTCTTCTAATGACTTCAGGAGATGTTTTATGTGTTACTTAATTTTTGACCACTTCTTTGTAATTGTATCTGGTGGTTCAGGCTTTGTTATTTTACTTTTCTGCCAGTTTTGTGTTTGACAAGGGCTAAGTCATTTATTTGATCTTTTTCTTTGTGGCATTTACTTGGCTCCCCAGTTGTATGTCTGAATGGAAAACTGACAATCTGATTGAATTTGAAAATTAAAGCAGTACTTTAACTTTTTTATGAGTTTTCTTAAATACTTTTATCATCAAAATAAGTTAAAAGGATGGGAATAGAAAACTAGTCCTCAAATGAAGTGGGACTTGGTCATTCTTATTTTTATCCTTGAAATTAAATTCTCGTAAATGCCTGCAAGTAAACTTTAGTTGATGTAGCTTCATGGTTGAATTATTGAAAGAATTGCAAACTTTTGACAGCTTCTAGTATGTCACTGGTCATCACAGCTCAGATAAAAGCTCAGTGACGGACTATTTAGTCATCTAAATTAACAAAAATTAGCAGCTATATGAAATGTGCGATAACTGTCTATCAACAGCAGGTGGAGCTAAAACAAGACTTTCTGATTCTGCTTCACAATCAAAACCAAGGATATCGGCCACGTATACTAGGGTTAATGAAAATATTGACCGGCCAGAATATCCTCTTCCATAACACACATCTGAGCCAGAATCTGAAGATGGGATAAACTTAAACATAATCCTGGTTATGTAGGGCTGATGCATGGATCTATTATGAGTGTTTCTTCTGGTCTATGTGTAATCAGATGAACCTTCCCAAGGTCAGTTTAATGCCAACTAAAGTGTCACATCTGTGTCAAAGGCTGTTTTTTTCTTCATTTTGGCAATTGGACATTTTAAAGAGCTGGTGGGCATATAGTCTAAACTTATTTTTATTCGAACTTAAAGGTCCCATATTACGATTTTTGACTTTTCTGTTTTAAACATGATCACAGTGCTAATTGGCCTTCACACACATGTTCTTTCATTATTCCCTCAAGCTTTAGTTAGAGAGCGATTGTTCTCTTTCATTCTCGAGAGGCACAGAAATGAGTCGTTTCTAATCTTGACATCAAGAGCCCACCTCCAAAAGGTGATTGACAGCGCATGTAGCCTCTCTCCGAGTACATAGACTGTAAATACGCATCTGTGCTTGTTATGTTAGCGTCATGTCAACTTGGAGAAAATGTGTTATATGTGATGACAGTCTTCTGCCGAATGAAGCATTCAGCCTTTTACCTTGGACTAGAGCAGAGAAAATGGTCCGAACCAAGCGGCTATTCCACCTTGTGACCCGTCCTGCTCCACCCAGCGGATGTTCCACCTTTGCTGCTGTGACCAGTCCTGCTCCACCCAGAGGCTACTCCACCCCTGCTGCTGGGACCTGACCAAATTGTAAATTCGGAGAAGGCGTTCGACCACGTTCTCGGTTTGCAGCCGAGTGTGGAGGTGCTGATTCTCTGGGATGAGAATCAGCACCTCCAAATCGACCGGATAAAGGTGCCTTGCCCTCCCCAGGTGGGTGGAGAGGTCCTTCCTCAAGTGGCGGAATTCAAGTGCTCAGGGTCTTTTTCACGAGAAAGGTAAGATCCGCCTGTCAATCTCACGTGAGATTGACAGGCGGATCGGTGCAGCGTTTGCAGTGATGCGGTCGCCGTACCGGACCGTTGTGGTGAAGAGGAAGCTCTCGATTTACCAGTAAATCTTCGTTCCCTCACTCACCTATGGTCATGAGCTTTGGGTAATGACCGAAAGAACGAGCGCGAATACAAGCGGACGAAATTAGTTTCTTCCGCAGAGTGGCGGTCGCTCCCTTAGAGATAGGGTGAGGAGCTCAGTCACACGGGAGGAGCTCGGAGTAGAGACGCTGCTTCTCCACATCGAGAGGAACCAGCTGAGGTGGCTCGGGCATCTGTTCCGGCTCAAAATGGCTCAACATCACCCTAAGAATATTTGAATCAAACAATGGATGAAGGTAAATGGCATTCATGCAGCAGAGACACGTTTCTAAACAAACAAAAAAAAAACATACAATTTGCCCTGCTTTGTCCAAACACCAATTGTCATATTCAATTGGAATGAGTAAGGGACATTTATTATAAGACAAAAAATACTTCCAGAGCAACCGGACATCCGGGTGACCTGAGAGAGGTCCTCATCACAGACTGAACACAAGCTATACTGCCAGCTGATGAAAACTGTTTAAGCGTGATATTTTGTATGAATAAATATTCATTCGCAGGAATATCTGCATAAACTAAAATTAGAAGTTAATGCTACACAATAGTCCCATCTAGTCATGACATAAACACAGGAGAGAGCAAAGGTTTGGGTACCCTGCAGATGTATTGGTCTCGTTATGTACCAGTCTGGAAACACTACATGTTTGGCTATTCCCATTGGACGAAGGGAAAGAGTGAAACATTTTCACTCCAAAGAAAGTAGAGGAAAACCAGGAGGAAAGAAAGACTATGACCCCTCCGGTTCTGGGAGCGGCCTTCCCAAACTCCTGGTCCGCGCTGCAGGTGACCAATGTTATTATAATAGATCCATGCCAGTGTCCTGCATGGATGTATAAAGGTCTCCCGCCGAAAAGCTCTCCTTGTGCAGGAGCAGAGCAGAGGCTTTTGGAGTGCAATTGCAGCGCCCTCTTGTGGTAAATTTCGGTACGTCGCAGACTTCACTCAGCAGTCGAATACAGGTGATCGGGACTCAAATCTGCATTATAAAGTGCAAAGTTGAAAGCTCATTGATTGACAATAATTATCAAACACATATTTTTGACTTTGGAAATATTTGATGAAGGCTGTCACGTTTGGGGAATTATAAAAGATTTTATTTTAAAACAAAGTTGCATCATAATAAGTCTGTGTGTCTGAAGGCCTAAATTCGTTTTGAATATAAAAGTAATTGAATACAATCGCCATGTTTCTTGTGTTGATTGTGTTTGTAATGGATTACACTGCAGTTTTTTCCCAAAACTGTAATCTTCACTGTTTTAAAAAATGCTCTGCCCACAAGACAAGACAGACAGACGTGCGCAGTCTGTGGTCGATTCAATTTCAAGTAAATTAATGTTTGGATAGCTCTAAATCACAACAGCAAGAGCTCTGGTGTGTACCGTCCTCTCTGTCTGGTGCACACTGGGTCTTGCACAGTTTTTCCAATGTGGTTTTACTGCAAATGGCAAATAAATGAATCTGATCTGAGCAGTTGTCTCGGGGAACTTAAGACGGTTGTCAGTTCACAAACAACAGATCAGAGAGTTTTGGACAAGTTGGAAGTGTTTTATTGAGGATAAAGTCACTTTCATACAAAGTCAAGTCTTGTATGAACGTGAGATTTATGCACAAGACCCTTGCATGAGATATTGCACAGAATAATGTTTGAGAGTCGACAGGGTGTTGTTCAGTCTCAAGTGGACGAAGAGAAAGAGTGAAACATTTCCACTGTCTCCAGCAGAAAAGCTCTCCTCGGGCAGGACCAGAGCAGAAGCTTTGGAAGTGCAAATACAGCGCCCTCTTGTGGTGAATGTGAGTTATGTCCCAGACTTCACTAAGCAGTCACATACAGGTGTTCTGGACTAGAATATTACCAAAATGTGATTGTTTTTAGGGTTGCTTTTATTGTAACCTGTATTGTGTGTTATGGGTTTCAGATTTTTCCCAAAAGATTATAACGAGTCACTTTTGTGAACAGTAACTTCCTCTCAACATTGTTCTCAATAAAAGCTGTCCAGTGCTCAGTGTAGTTCTATCTTATACTTATGCAGTCATTATTGTTTCATGTGATGGTTTGTTCTTGCATTTTACTTCCTTTTCATCAGTGGGAGTTAAGAACATTGAAACGAAGCTAAATCAGAAATTCAGACTGGAAGCAGTGGGGGCGCTTCCGGCTCAAAAGTTGCCAAAATGATGTGCACTGACATGCTTGCAATACCACCCCAGGCCTCTGGGGGTGGACCCAGAAGTAGAATTAGCCAATGCTAACATATAGCATTGACAGACCTCTTGAAAACATCTTTACAGGATGGTCCAAAAGTTGGCTCTTGGCCCAAAGCTCCGTTCCACATGTGTGTCAATGCTGAGGGG